GCGGTAGCAAGGGATAGGAAGAAGAAGGGAGAAGACGGAGAAGAAGGAGAAGAAGGGCGGTCGCTGCTCTGGAAAAGAAGAAGAAGAATCGAGATGGTGAAAGGAAGAAGAGGAATCGAGATGGTGAGAGCGCGGTCGGCGGTCTCTGGAAAGTGGATAGGAAGAAGAAGAATCGAGAAGTGAGAGGGTGAGGAGTGAGTGGTTCAGATTTTAGTTGCTTTTAATTTTTTTTTTTTTATAAAGGGTATTTTCCGGTTGGCCGGTTAACCAGCCTAAAACCGAAACCGACCGGTCGGTGGTCGGCAGGTATGCAGGGTGGCTCGGTTTAACCGATAACCGGGATTTCGGTTTTCGGTTAAACCGAAACCGACCGACTGCCACCCCTACTTAAAAGGATTATGGATTATTGTGGGACATTAATCTTGATAATTATTATTTTAAGTGTTATTGTGATATTAATGATTTACCTTATTGGTGTTATTATATGTTAGCTTTTATATGAACCTTAAAATCCTACAATTTTACTTCAGTTTTCGATTTTACGTGAAATCCCGATTTTGACTGCTTTGTTTGGGGGGTTACCCTCGCTCACTGAAGGGCTATCGCATCTATGACTTTGTCACTCGACGGGTTTACACTTCTCACAATGTACATTTTGTTGAAACTCAGTTTCCTTTCCGCATGGCCATCTCGTCACCACCAGCTCCTGCCATGTCGATCCCTTCACCATCTTTGCCTGCTTCTTTTGTCGAGGATCTCAACCAGCTCGAACCATTGGTTACACAACGTGTTGCGGTGGATGAGGACCTTAGTGAAAGTTTCGACGTGGGTGATAACATTGCCTCTCCTTTGCATGATACTTCCATGGATCCACCCTCACCTCCTACTACTTCGCCACAATCGGATGCTTCTCCCTCTGTCGATACGGTTGTTTCCACAAATGAGGAGATCTCCGTCGATGAAGCATCCTCCCCTGTCGAACCTCCACCTGTTGTTCCGGTCCTTCGCCGCGGGGACAGGGAACGTCGACCACTGCCTCGTTTTGACACTTATGATGTGGAATTTCTTGGTAAATCCTCTCATGCCTGTACCTACCCCATCTCCAACCATGTTAGCTATCACGGGTTCTCTCTTAATCATCACACTTTCCTTGCCGCCATTACCCAGCTCACCGAACCAAAGAACTATCACTCTGTTGTTCGCTTTGCTTGTTGGCGTGAGGCGATGATCGGATAGATCCTGGCATTAGAGGCCAATGGTACCTGGACTTTGGAGATTTTTCCACCAGGTAAGAAGGCTATTGATTCCAAGTGGGGTTTTAAAATCAAGTACAATCTGGATGGCTCGGTCGAATGTTATAAGGCTCCTCTTGTTGCAAAGGGGGTTTACCCGGCTAGAGGGGGTTGATTTTCATGACACCTTCAATTCTATGGCGAAGCTCGTCACCGTTCGCACTCTCATTGATGTTGATGTCGCTTCTGGGTGGCAGATACACTAGCTTGATGTCAATAATACATTTATGCATGGTGATCTTGAGGAGGAAGTCTACATGAGGGTACCTTTGAGATTTTCCGAAAAGGGTGATACTCGAGTTTGCCGTTTGAGGAAGTCGCTCTATGGTCTTCTCCAGACTTCTCGCAATTGGTATAACAAGTTCACTCTTGTCGTCCATGAGCTTGGTTTTGTCACCTCCCGTGCAGATCATTCTCTCTTGATTCATCGTCGTGGCTACCGATTCGTTGCTTCTCTGACGTGGTCCTCACTGAGAATGATCCAGAATTCTTCAGCCAGGTCAAGTCCTTTCTGGATGCTCAGTTTAGCATAAAAGATCTCGGTACCCTCAAGTATTTTTTGGGCATTGAGGTTGCTCGCTCTCCAGAAGTTGTCGTGCTTTCTCAGCGCAAATATGTTATGGATATCTTACATGATGAATGAGCTATTGGTTCTTGTCCTAACCGATTTCCTATGGAACAAAACCATACACTCACTCATCCTAGTTCATCTGAGGCCGGTAAGGCGGTTGATGGTTCCTCGTAATGTCGTCTTGTTGGTCGATTCCTCTGTCTCACTGTTACTCATCCTGACATTTCCTACGCCATTAATGTTCTGAGTCATTTTGTTCATTATCCGATCCCAGAACATGTCGCAGCGGCTCATCGGGTTCTTCGCTACATCAATACGGCGCCAGGTCAGGGGCATTTCTTTCTTGCAGATAGTTCCATACAACTTACTGCTTATTGTGATGCATATTGGGGGGTTGATAGTCCACTCGACGGTCTACTACTAGGTACTATATTCAGCTGGGCTTTGCACCTATCTTTTGGCACACTAAGAAGCATCGTGTTGTTGCTTTGTCTTCTGCAGAAGCAGAGTAACGTGTTATGGCCAGCACGTAAGTGAAGTTATCTAGTTGTGTTTTCTTCTTACTGAGTTGGGCGCTCCTCGGTCTGGTCCCACACTTTTGTTTTGTGACAACCAGGTTGCCCTGCACATTGCGGCGAATTCGATTTTCCATGAATGCACCAAACATGTTGAGATGGACTATCATTTTGTGTGCGAGCGCATGGTCACCGGTGAGATTGACCCTCTGAAGATTGGTTCTTCCTCTCAACTGGCGGATATCCTTACCAAGCCCTTAGGCGCTGATCGGTTTCATTTCCTATTATCCAAACTTGGCATTCATGACCTGCATGCTTCAGCTTGAGGGGGCGTGTTGACGTGTAATCTTCATTAGTACCTTGTTTGGGTACTTATTTGTTATTATGCAATCTTTTCCTAATTGCCCTAGATTACTCACGTAGAAGGGTATTAGTAGGCCTTGTGGCAACTGCCTTTGTAACACACAAGAGACAGGTTTCTATTCTATTCTCCGATAGTGAAACCCTACTCGAGCTCTGCTTAGGAAGACCGTTGGCATTTCCTAAAGTGTAGAGTTTTTGTCTCTTGTTACTTAATTAAGATGGAAGGAAACCTCTGCATGCACGACAGCGACAACAACACAGCATAGCAACAGGTGGCGGAGAGTGAATTCAGCGACAACAGCAGTGGTTTCGTCCTCCTCCGCCTAGTAACAGCAACATGACAATGACAGAGAGCAGTTACGGGTTTTGTCAAGAATGGGACGCGACGGATTTTGGTTGTCGAGAGAAGGGTCTAGGGTTTAGGTTTGATTTGGGGTAGAGGCATATGTGTCATTTTAATGTAGTTTAGTGCGATAAAATTTAAATTTTAAAGCGACGAATAACGATTCAGAATTTAAAAGAACAACATTCAAAATATTATTTTTTCATTAAAAACTATAACATGATAAATGTAGTTAAATTATTCGTGAAATTCAAATTCTCACTTGTTTATAACTTTATTGTAGGTAAAATATGATGCATCAGGATAAATCAAATAAAGTAAAAATAGTAAAATACCCAAGCTTGCCCGCCTACATTTACATATACATCAAACAAGCTAGATAAAATGGATTATATTGAAATAATCTTCCTACTCAAAACTTTATAAGCAAACAGTTACCTGGGATCCAAGGGGTCGTTTGGTTTTGGTGATAGTTAAATCGATATATTGTCATCAATGTATGCATAATAATATACATGTATATGAGAAAATTGGTGTATTGTAGTTTATATCGTTTGGTTTCTGTGATAGTTATTGTAGTATTTAAATAAATTATATCACTTTTTGGGTGAAATGTCACTTTTAACCTTTGTTTTTAATATAAAAAAGCAACACACATTTAAAGATAGGGACATATTTGGAAGAAGAAGAAAACACAATAATCTCTATCAAACAATCTCAACGAAAACTTTAGATTTAACTATTACTCATTTTGAGTGATAGTTTGTGTCAAATCAAGCAAACAATGCATGTATTGTTTGCGTAGAAAATTCAAAAAAACAATGTATTATGGACATTGCATGCATTGTAACTATCTCAACCAAACTATCACCAAAACCAAAATTTGTGACCACGAGTAGTGAAGGGGCAAGAGGGTCAAGCAAATGAGACGAGGTGGGAGACAAAGAACCAATAATTAGTCACTTTACTCCCAACTATACCCCACGCATTGTTTTTCCAAAAGTGAAATTCGCAACAAGATTACTAAACATATAAACAAGAAATGAACAAAGGAAAGAGAAAAAGAGATGGGAAATTATGCAACTCATCCCCCACTTCTCAATCAATGAACGAATGGAAATTATCTATTTAAACCCCTCCTTCATTACCTCACCAAGGTCCTTCACCCCCCCCACCATTTGGCTCTTTACACAAAGAGCCAAATTATTCCCATTGGATACCGCTCCTTATCATGTTTAGTTTCTTTCTTCTTTGGAATCTGATAGGCATGGAAATCCTCTGTCAAGAATCATCGTTCCATCCATATCTCTGAAAAGAGAAGAAAGAAAGCATGGGAATTTGTGGGGGTGGCAGATTGGTGGGTGAGGTGGTGGTGCCAACTTGCCTTTGGTCGGTTCCTTCTTCCTCCCTCCAATGTTCTTCCTCAACAGTTTGCCAGTTTGATGGATCACTCTTCAGCCATGGCCTGTGCTTATGATCAGGCTGAAGGCGATCGTCCCCTGGCAGACCGGCAAGTCACAGAAAGGCAAACCGGCTCAGTCATGAGTCTTCTCTTATGGCTAAAAATTGTATCTTTTCTTTAACCATTCTACCTTATCTTGATGTTTTCTTTATGTTGGATGGACAAGTATGAAAAAGAAAATGGAATGCATTGGGTAATGTTGTTTGATTCTGCAGAAGCTCGGCCTGACTTTTTAAGTTTGGTTTGATCTGCTTAATTTGATAATTGGTTTCCTGGGTTTCTCTGTTTCTGAAATGTTTTCATAGGAGCACAACAATAAACGTATGGATGTGTGTAATCCTCTCCCCTAGATTTGTTCAACCTTTGCTTTCTGATGAAAGAATCTGATCGATTGCTCTCTAACTGTGGTATTTAGTTTCAGCCAACTCGTCACATCAACATGACATACTGAGCGAACTCAAAACCCTTCTCCCTTTCTTATTGATGATCGTGAATAAGCAAGTAAAAGTGTAGAACAGTACAAGAATCTAACATATGGCCACTTCTGTAACACGGGACTGAAGACAGGACCCACCTGGTATCAAAATTTACAATTCTCTGTGCCTAATTGAGCTAGCCGCTCAAATTACATTCATTTTAGCATCAACAAGCTTACTTTCTACAGGTAATTGGAAAAGGTTACTACAGAGATGAGCTAGACTTTGTTAAGTTCTCAAAGAATGGTAGTAATATGTAATGGGATGAAGCATGACTTTCCGATCTTCGCGACCCCCTACTGATAAAAGTTCAGTAGGTGCACCGCAGGCGAAAGTTGACTCATGTCTTCCAGGATCCGAACCCAGACTTCAAGAGTGAGACATACAGGAGTTCATTCCAGGTATCTGGCACTCCTGGAAGGCACCAGTGACTGCAATCTTGAGCCCGTTCAGCTGCAATGAGTTCTTCAGCCGTCTTGTACTTCATTCTGTAAATTGATGGGTGGGCATCTTTTCTGTGATCCGTGAGCCTACTAATGTTGAGATAAGTAACTGGAGTTTTCATTTCGTTGAGAACATTCTGCAAGACTTTCATTTTTGTTGGGTACTTGGCTAAATGAGTTGAATTGAAGATGGGCTCTGTTTCTTTATGGCATTGTCCTCCTGAGTTCCATTGGCCACCTCTGTAACCAAAATGAAAGACAAAACAAGTTTCCTCAGAATTGCACCAAAGGGACAAAACCCTCTTCGAATGCAAAAGCTTGTTGCAAAAAGCAGACCTATTTCCCCACTAAAAAAGATTTACTACACAAGCATAGAGAAGTATGGAGCACTGATGATAATGAAAATGAGATCAAAGATTACTCTTTCACCTGAAATGGGTCACTGAATAGCCTCTGAAAAAGACATGAGTTCTGCTTCGATCTGTACTCCTATCCACCCATCTGGCCCAGGTTTTAAGTGCCCTCTTATATGCTTCTAGTACCTTGAGCCTTCGATGTAGATGGCTACCTTCCTGATAGTAGTCTTCTCTGCAAAATCATGAAAGCAACAAACATGAGGGATCATACATAAACCGCATCAGCAATTCACATTGTTCCACAGACAATTATAACCAGCATGAGAAACCTAAATCATTGTTCCACTCACCCTTTAGAAGTTTTCTCATGGGTCCACCAGTGACCCGTGTTGAAAACTAGGATATCGGCATCATGATACATTGAAGTTGTCTTGTCCATCAAATCCAACCTTAAGGTCTCGAATGTTCCGTTTGCACCAGAAAACGATGATTCTCTGACAAGGAAAGGAGAGCCAACAAAATCCACAGTACAGTTGTAGTCCTGCAAACACGTCCAGTTTGACTCATCAAACTATATGGAAATGAAAGCAAAACAATAATGTGTTTAAGCTTGGAAGTTTTGTAGAGACTTGCCTCAAAGAAGAAGGCATAGAAACCTTTCTTTTTAAACTCTGTCCTTCCTGATATCTCATAAACTCTCTTCTTGTTCCTGATACTATGACGAAGAATGCAAACCAAGGATTCCCACATATTTCTATTAAGGGAATCCCCCACAAAAACCAGTTTCTTCCCTCTTAATCTCTCTAGAAAATCAGTGGCATTCAACCTGAGAACGTAAGAGAAGGACGGTTCAAAATGTTTCCTATAAGACTATACCAAAAATAGCATGTTTCTTACAACTAACTATTTCAAAATTAAACCACATGCATGAGAAAGAACCTAACTCGAACAACCGTTGACCTCTTTAATCTAAAACAAGCGAGTTAATGTATACACTTGAACGAAATGATGAATCAACCTTTAATCAGGAAGGTTGTATTGAATCCTTAATGAGAATCCTAATGAATATTACTGATCCCATACCGCACCGCTGGTTAAAGTACCAACCAAATCAATAAAGAGACTTAACCCTACTTGCATCAGGAACCCAAAACTTCCAAAAGCACACATAGTTTTCCATCTCAAGTAAAGGGCATGTACATGATATACCTTGGGATGTCGCACCCATTTGGTTGCCACCTCCATTTGACATATCCAGAATCAGGCCTTCCATTAAAGTGGCAATCAAAATCTTTATCAATATGAGGACAAGACCCAGCGGGATAAAAGGGCTTGGAGTCATCTCTCTCCCACCTTCCATCAAATATATCACAGTTCTGGTAAGAAGCTTCTGTACTTCGTTTTTCATCTTGACCTTGCTCTACAGCCCTACCGTTGGACCAGTCAGCTTCTTTACTAGTAGTATTCCGTCTCCCTGCATGATCTGTCATATTTGATTTAACAGAAATCTCTCTAGATTCGGATTCTGCAATCGGCTCTCCAACGGGCAAGCTTCCATTGGTCAGCAAACCATGGATATTACTTCCAACCCCTGTAGAATCAGTGAGATTTTCGCCTTGCGCCACTTGGGTATTTTGTCGAACACTTCCCGGATCTTCCTCGCCGACGACAACGAAGCCTCCTTTCGGATCTCCGCTCCCACTCTCATCACTCAAATTCCCCAAATGCACTTTCCCCAAAACCACCCCAAATGCACTTGCTGTGGCGTTGTCTTTGCCGGGGAAGTAAGAGGCGGGAAACGAGAAGGGCCAAGAGGAAACAAGGGAAGAGGAATTGACACTGACGTGATTAAACCCTTGGAACACGGCGCGCCCCTTTAAGGAACTGCTGAGGAGGAGCACAGAGAGTATAATGAAAAAGGCGCTGGCGATCCAGAGAGCGAACCCAGATAGCAATTTCCTCGTTGGGGAGAGCAGGAGTTGGTCTGGCAATCCGACTTTCTTTGTGTCCATAGCTTGCAAACCATAGAAAGAAAGCAAGCAGCGGAAGGCAAAGCAGAGGCGGGGCTCCCCTTTTGAAAAAGCAGGAACCCGAACTGAGAAAATGTGATAGAGGCAACTTCTGGATCTTGCAAAAGAAACCGTGAAGTTGCTTGACGGGAAGAGATTGGGCAATGCAGATCGCAAAAGAGAGATGGAGTTGGGGATTTTGGATGAACGCAAAGAAGCAGCAGAGGAAGCTAACAGTTGGGGAAAGATAGACTTCTCTTTCTAGTTTCTAGACTCAGGGCGGTGCAGTACTGCACTGTAAAGACTTGTGCGAGAGAGCTGTCAACGGATGAAATTACTGGAATGCCCAAACAAGCGTCCAATTATTACGCTTATTATGATATCCTGGAACTGGAAGTATTTAAGGCCAGGGTGTGGGCAGTTTCGTCAAGGAGGGTTAGATGAGGCTGGGAACGGACACCAGGGGCGGGGAATTTATTTACTTTTGCCGCCGACAGGCCAGCTACGGGACACGTGGCGGATGATAATGCAGGCCCGGTCAAAAGCAGCAAGTGATGGTGGGAGGGAGTGGGAGAACTGGAAGGCATCACGCGGCACGTGCCTATGATTGGTTTCAAAAGAAAGCGCCCTCCATCCACTCCCACACAAATTTGATTTCCCCGGCCCCGTTGATCCTTCCCACGGCGTCTTTCTTGCCACGTCCCATGCGACTTTCCAGTGCCCAATAGCACGCGGATCTCGTCAAGCCGAACTGAAGAAAGCCACCTTCCCATATGAGACAGCCCACCCAGGAATCATATATGAAGCGGCCCGGCCCGGCCCAGATTCGAATTTGAGCTTGGTTTCATATCTCCACTTTGATGGACTGGGGCCATGGAGAAAGAAATTGCACTTTCATAAGCAGGTGCATTGGATTGATTGGAAGACGATGTATAATGGGTAAACAAGAGGGTGGTTTGGAATTTCGAGATTATGAATGCTTCAATCAAGTGGTTTTGGCAAAAATCGCTTGGTGGATTATGAAGGGCAGCTTGACCGGAAAACACGGCCCTCTCATTTCATGCAAGTCTCTTTCAAAGCTCCTGAAATATGGATGGTTGTTTGTCGGCTCACAATATGCTTTGAGACTAGCATCAGAGAGTGTCCTCCCCTTATGATGGTAAGGGGTCCCAAGCTTTTCTGCAAAGCTTTCATAACTGTTCTTGAAGATTCGTCCCGCTAATCGATAGATGATGCAGATCATTCTCGGTTGCTCGGATGCTTCGACTGTCAATGTGGCCAAGAACTCCATAGTGAGGACATCAATGCTCTCTTTTCAAATGCTAAATAGTGACAAGAGACCAGCATCATCCAATCTCTCTCTGACTTGTGTTCCTCATCCTTGGTACTGGTCGAAGTGTCAGTTTAGCTCTCCTTGTTGATAAATAGTAGGGGTGGTAACCGGCGGTGACCGGCTATACCGTTAACCAACGGTACTGGTAAATGGTAGCAAAAAAATGAACTCGGTATACCAGATTTTACCTGGTTAGTAACCAGTTGTTAGCCGGTATACTGGATAACCAGAAAGCGCCTACTTAATGTGAAACTAGAGCAACACAACTCTCATCTTCCTCCTCATTTTTCTCTCACCCACTCCACCACCACCACCCGCATCTTTCATTTATTCTATGTGACGCCATTGCCATCTCCCCACATCTCACAATCCTCCATTCCCAATTCCACCATTCCCCTTCCCCTTGAAATCAATCCCCGCACCCCCAATTTAATATATCTCCATAAAAGGCCAACCAATCCTCATACCTTCTTCATCTTCCTCTCTCCCCCTCCACAACACGTTGGGTCCCTAAACAAAAGCTCGTGGAAGAGGTCGCCTGCTATGGCATCGAATCACGAATTCAATTAACCATGGCTTTGCCTTCGTTGTATGGCATCGATGCATCCGTCGTCAAGCTTGCGAGATTCGTCGGTGGGGATTTTCATGCCTAAAACTGAAGTAGAGGGATTAGGGAAGGCTGGTGGTTATCGGTGAGACAGTGCATACTCTGTTCCGAACCAAACACTGAGAAGTGGCTTGAAATCAACCGAATTTCGGCCCAAAGAGTGCGCGTCTTAGGTTCAGTTCAACTCAGATCACTCGAATGCACCCCTATGGAGTCATTTGATTTGGCTAGGCTTGGCTGCCATTGCCTAGATGCGTGCAACTTGAAATTCAACTTTCAATTCTCTAAATTACTAAATGAATACATGTGGTATTATTTGGCTTCTTATGGACGAAATTGAGAATGAGATTGAAATTGAATTGATATGTATTGCTTCTTTCATTGCGGTGATTGTCCTTGCGCTTTGAATTTGTGTTGCTGTTCTATTCTTGCGGTAAGTTTTTTAGGGGAAGGCTTCTGATAAAAAAAGATACGACGGTAACCGGTTGCTAACCCATAACGGGTATCCGGTTATCTGGTTAACTAGTTTCGTCCCGATAACGGTAGTGGCAGTAATTTGGCACTAGTCGTTATTTTGATAACCGGTTAATCGCTAACCAATTAAACTGGTAAGCGAGCGATTACCAGCCCTAATAAACAGGCACTTCCTTCCATCTTGATATCTTTATGGCACTAGGACTCCCGCATGGAAATTTAATGAAGGTCTGCAGGGAGGCTCAGGTGAGTCATCTCTAATCGCCAGGCTACTATCAGTCTCCATCACCTCATACTCTGGTGGCAGCGGTCTACTCCTGCTTCTTGATCTCCAACTATCCATAGATAGCCTTATGCTGGTGTGACTCAAGGATCTCCTAGCAAAGAGAAAGTGTGAACTCGACTCCCTAGAAGAATCCTCCTCCTCAATCATGATTTCTTGCTCCCTCCTATTGGGTCATTCAAACCATCGTGGTGCTACATGCTCTGGATCTACTCTGGGTGGACTAGGATTGCTCGACCCTCTTGATGAAGAAGCACCATAGTCTCATTTCTTCTTCTTATGCCTCCATAACCATGGGAAGGAATTCGACATTTTACTACTCAAAAGAAACCATATTAGTGTAGATCATAGGGTATAACCCCACACTTTAAGAGCAGGTCTTCTTCCCTAAGCCAATCATATAACTTCTCAAGTATGTATCAAGATAGTAAGTCAAATACTTCATTTATCGTGTAAGCTCGTATAAAGATAGGAAGTATTCTAGATCAAAATGTAGAAGTAAAATGAAGCACGTATCTTGAAAATTTCAAAACTTTTGAAATCTCCAAGGTATACGATTAGGCAAAGGTCAATAAGTTGGCACAAGTAAAATGAGATGCATTCGGTCCAACTTAGTAATGAACTTGAAACTAAAAATTTCCTAATCTCATTTTAATTCCAAAATCAAAACTCCTACCAATATTACGAAAATGTAGCATAGCTTTTTATCGTTTAAAGATCAATGTGAAATTGTGTTGTGCTAAAATTTTGGCATGACCTTTGTTAAAGTTCATCAATCCATCCAAGCATACATTCTCTTAAAATCATAGTAAGCACTGTGCAATCTTATTTATAAGCATACAAGGAATCACCATTTATCCATAAACGTAGATTGCGCCTAATAGAGACCGAAATTTGCAGAAGACTCTCCAACCAATCTCATGCAATTTTAAACGTTGAAATCCTCAATCGAAGTCCTAAATTAATGGCTCAAGCTCCTAAATTCATCTAAAGATCATGGATACTTACTTGGATTGAAGAAGCTTGCATAAAAATTGAAGAAATTTGAAAAATGAATGAGAATGGCGACAAGCGACTCGACGATGGGTATGGCCGACATTATGCCTTCGGTGAGATTTTGAAATTTTCTTTCTTTGGGAATTGTTTAGTAGGTGATGGGTAGGTTGTATCCCGAATTTGAGGTGAAAATTCTGAGTTTTGGCAATGTGTTTGGTGATTGAAAGTTTAGGTTTGTGGGAGAAAATTTGAAACTTAGAGAGAAGGGATAAGATTTTCGGCTAGAGAAAGGGAAAAGTGAAAATGAAGGTAAGTGGTATGAAATGGTCAAATTTTGGCATTTTAAAAGGAAGTAGGGGAGGCAGTGTCACGAGTGTGGTGCCCGACGTGGCTTCCTCTCGTGTTCTACTTCGGATACCTGCATTTTCTCGTTAGAACACTTACCTCGTTAGTAGGTACTATTTTTCATGTCTTAAAATCATGGGTTAATATTTTCGTATGGCCTGAACTTTGACCAAAGTAAACATCCTGGCCAATCTTTTCGATCTATAACATTATGGCCCGAACTATACACCAAAGTAAACAATTTGGCCAAATCAGACTTTTGACCGTTAACTTCGACGGTCAAACGCTTTGACTAACGGTCAACGCGCCATGTCACCGCCAACTCAGCAATAAAAAAAAATTAATTTTCACCTAGCCCATTTAATTTCCACCTAGGTCTTTTCTCAATTTGAAGACGGAAAAAAAAAACCCACAAAACGCAGCGGGTGCCCTAACCCCTGCCCTAACCCCCATTCTTCATCTTCTTCGTCCTACAAAGTGCTACATGCAGAGCTCCAACAACCCCCAACCGTTTCAATGGCGGAACCCGCGGCACAGATCGCCGGGAAACGATTGCAAAGCATAAACATGATTACTGACACTAATCTTGTTTTTTGCAACCACTACTTAACAGGATGAAGCTAGTTAATTCTTCTGTTACAACAAGGAACTAATTGAACAAACTAAACATTGATCCCTAGAAGAAGAAGTCACCGGAATCATCCCACGCTTTTTTTCTGCCTCCAAGCTAAAATTCATGGACGGAGAGACGGACTGACTGGCCGACGACGGAGACGGCCAATGACACAGCGCAAACTCGAAAAAAAACACTATTTTACAAATCTAAGGGAGAAAAAAAAGGGGTGGGGAACGGATCTAGGGAAACGATCGAGATTACATTACACGAGAGGGACAAAGCGGGAGAGGGGAAATCGAACAGCGAAGCGAGGCGGAGGCGGAGGCTAGGAGGAGCTGTTGCTGTTCTTGCTGTTGAAGTCGGAGGCGAGGCGGGAGGCGATGGCGGAGTGGTACATCGCATCGTGGTGCGACGACGTCCCCGAGGTCAGCATCCGGAGCTGCTTGGCCTTCTCGGCGGTGAAGCAACCGGGGGAGAATCGAGATCTGGCCTGCTTCGCATCCAGATCCGGCCGATTCTCGTCCTGATCGGCCGCCGGCTGGCTCGCGGGAGCGTCCGGCTCGGAGGACCAGCCGAAGAGAGGGGACCACCATTTCGGCGAGGCGGAGGAGGATGGGGGAAGCTGCCTCCGGCGGTTGTTGAGGTCCGGGTTGGATGAGGCGTAGACGACGGCGGGGCGGAGGGGGAGGAGATTGCTGGCCTTTTTTTTTTTTTTTGGTTTGGTTTGGAGTTTTAGAGATTCTGGAGGTCGGAGATCAGGAGGGAAGGTTTTTTTTTTTTGGGCTACAATGGCGTGCGGGGAGCTTATCATCTCTTTTTTCTGGGCGAAGGTAGAAGGGAGAAGGGTGAGTTTGGTGGGGGTTTTTTTTTTCGTCTTCAAATTGAGAAAAGACCTAGGTGGAAATAAAATGGGCTAGGTGGAAATTAATTTTTTTTTATTGCTGAGTTGGCGGTGACATGGCGCGTTGACCGTTAGTCAACGCGTTTGACCGTCGAAGTTAACGGTCAAAAGTCTGATTTGGCCAAATTGTTTACTTTGGTGTATAGTTCGGGCCATAATGTTATAGATCGAAAAGATTGGCCAGGATGTTTACTTTGGTCAAAGTTCAGGCCATACGAAAATATTAACCCTAAAATCATTCATTCTTGTCATAAGATTGAAATTTGCTCCAAGTGTAACACCTATCTAAAGAAAATAATTTTTTCCTCCAATGAGTAACTCCAAACCAAAATACAAATTTTGAAATAAAAAATTGACTAAGAGAGATAGATAGTAAGCTTCCTTCTTCTCTTCCTCCATTTTCATACTCACAAAACTCTTATATGCTCTCATCCTAATTGAGATTACTTTAACTTTCTCCTTCTTTGGATTGTTTCTGTGGTGCTTGGGACGTTGCTATGAGGCTTTTGAGGTTGACCATCAATTAGGAGTGCAAGTTGTCTTTCAATATTCTTGTAGCTAGTTTGCAGTCCTATTACAGTTGCCTCTAGCTTCTCAAATCTGGTTGGTTGCGGATTTGAGGCACCTTCTCCTTGCCCCCTTTTATTGAGGTTGATTACCAAATCCAGGTGGACTTGGTTTCTTTTGTCATTGTGCTTCATGAACATATGGTGCATTGTTATAGGTGATGTTGGGGTAATCATCGTGCTTCTTCCCTCGTGGAGCAGGCCATTGACATTATGGTATGCGAGATTAATTGGTCAACAAAGCAATGGGAAGGCGACAGTAGGGCGTTAGTTGGACCCGATTCTCTGTTTCTTTAAGGGTTGGGCTTCTTGATCCATGGACTTCTGTTCCTGATGATTTGGGCTGCAACTTAAGAGAGCAGAGATTGGAACCTCTTCTTGGGACACCACTCACTCCTTCTGATTCTTCCTCCTATGGGCTCGTCTTGGCATATTCTAGCAACTTGTAGTTGTCCTCTCCGTCATTGGACCACTTCTCTCTCGTGAAACTCCTTAATCTTCTCTTTATAGCTCATTTGGTCTTCTAAATTTCATTAATGCATGATCCAATCTTCTTTAGATTGTTTTGTACCTTCAAAATCATTAAAAAAACGTACCTTGAAGGCATCAAATAGTACAAGAACATTCCCTAGGTCTATTAAAAGCTCATTGGTCAAATACTTGTGATTTAGACAAGAAATCCTATTGAAATTACTAAAGATGCTTCAATATAAGAGAAAAATTTATCAAGAATGGGAGTGACAAATACTATAATTAAAGTGTCACCAACATGGTTGTCAGGCCGGCCGGCGTGCCACCGGTTGTACCGGGATCAACCGGTATCGGTCATAAAACCGGCGTGATACCACCGGTATGACCGGTATGATCGATATAAGAATCTCTAAGTAAAATGACCTTATTTTAGTGAATTTAATTGGTAAATATTATTTTATTATTTATTTTATTAGTATAAAAGTTAAATATTGATGTTATTTGTTGGATTCAAGTATAAATGTTTAGGTATTGACGTTAAATGCCATGTTTAAATATGAGTATTTACAATTTTATTTGTAATATTGACCGGCATGAACCGGCACAAAACGGTATGTGCCACCGGTTGAACCATTCCACTTGATAAACCGGCACACTGGCATAAACCGGTTTGACAACCTTGGTCACCAATCACTCTTAAACAATCGGGAAGGCGTAGATTCCTAGAGGAATACTTCCCTGCATAGAAGGCTGACTAGATAAGGGGTCACATTATAAGGTTCAAACAAGAGGATGTCGAGGCATTCTATGATGCATGGGTTGGTTACAAAGAGTTATTTTGATCATGCTCACATCATGGATTTATCTTGGAGCAACAATCATATTGGTTCTACAAGAGTTTAGACACTCCAGATACTCAAATAATTGACCAATTCATAGAAGGAGGTGTCACTCAACTCACTGCGGAAGCCGAAATGGATCACTATGATACAATCCAAATCCAAGAGAACTCTCGAACTCGGATGATATGACCAAAATACGCAGCTGCATTGTATCACACTATGATACCATGGCTCGCAGAACTAAATTATGGGAGGATAGAGTAGCCTCTCAACCATTAAAGACCTTTTCAAGTTTAACGAGATCTCAATGTCACACTGATGCAAAAGCAAGAAGAGATGGCTAAACAATCAACATTGCTCCAAACTGAACTTGCTTTGCTTACTCAAGATCATAAAAGCAGTAAGAGGTGGCTTGATGTGGAATGTTATGCTCTAAATAACCAGCCCATTCATGAGGAATATTCAAAGAATGAGGTAATTTCCCATGAGGCCTTAAAACTCTAATCCCATGCTCAAATCATTGATAAGAGAATAGAGGGTTCGAGAAAGGCATAACCAGATTGAAGAGGGCATTAACAAGCTTTCCCAAGATAAGCTCATGGTGAATGAGCTTCAAGATGACTTGAATACCAAGACCAACATACTCGAGCTATTACACGCCCAAGAGCATCAATCTAAAGAGCTACTTGATAGAGTCAATGCAATGATATATGAAACTCCTATGAAGCTATAAGAAGTGGAAAGGAGACACTACAAACTCCTTATGAAGCAACCTCTCATCGATAAAAGCAAACATTTCAAAAAGAGGATGACTATGGCACTAGATGCAGCCTTAAAACCTCCCTGGACCTGCCCACATCCAACTAATCTTATGGCCCCATGTCGGCCAACAAGATCATATCAGAAGAGGAGCTACATAGTAATCTCAATCTAGCGAATTCTAGGCTAATAGTTCCTTATCATGCTAGGCTCAATAGAAATAAAGAACAACACGATGATGATTTTCAAAAATTAATTGATAAGATTGTGGAAATAACGCACAACATGATGATGATTTTTACAACTTGATAGTTCCTTATTTGCCACACTCAGTGTCGCATGTTGCACCATCCTCAACAAAGGAAGGCCTCCATATTGGCTACAAAATCGAAAAAGCTACAATGGCATGGATGATGATCTTGGTCATTCCCTACTTTCTCTTGAAACTAACCATCTCCATCCAGTAATAAGGCCACTTTTTATCAAATTTGACATGCCACAATCATATTGTCATGAAAATATTGGTCTTAGTCAGATTCGGTCGGAAGTTCCCTTTCCAACTAAATCAAATGAGAGGAATAAGCATTTCGATGTTGCTTTCCATAAACTATTTGATGTTGTGAAAGAGGAAGGAGCTACTAAACAGTTTCTGGGCGATGAAGGGAGCGATCTAACTAGGGGTGTTCAAATAGTTACCATGACAATTATCAAACCAAATAAGACTAAAATATATTAACCATGGAATACAATATCATAACCAAACGTCCAAATTATACAACAACCAAATTAACCAAACTATACAAGGAGGCCTCCAAAAAAAGCGGTAATCTGTAAGCAAGTGGATTCAAGATGGAAGAGCTTGTTTAGCCACTACATGGACAACTCTGTTAACACTCTGAGGAGCAAAAGACACTAACTCGGAAAAGAGGAAAAGAGAAGATCTTCTCCAAGGTCCCTGCTCGAGAGTGAGAAGCTTTCTGATAGACTGACGAAAATGGTTGTCCTTCCTTGATTTTCCTTCTTATCACTCAGATTCCTGCAAAGTGGCCAACCAAAAAGGCAACCACTATGGAGCTAGAAATCTCTATCTCAAGAGATTATAGTCTACCTATGAGACAAAGTTGGAGTTACCGAATACACCACACTAATAATGTGATTCATATTTTTAGAATAATTTAACACATAAAAATTTACAAAAATTAAAAAATGTAATTTTCCTAGAGAAAAACAAGTATGATAAACCAAAGCAATTAAAATGATATTTTTTTTTTTTGCATGGAAGGGAGGCCGAGGCCAAGAAACAGATTACAAGAGAGAGATTAGGCGGGAGGGGATATCGTACGAGATACCACCCTTCGCTCAAAACTAATTCCTATGCTATCCTCCTGCAGGATCAGGGCGAGGGCCGTTGGCGGGCTCGCAAGCTCATGCATACCGAAAGGATAGACGAGACTGTGCTTCGAGAGCCAGTCCGCGGCTCTATTCCCTTCTCTGTATGTATGAGTAATGCGGACCAACCAATCTTGACTAATCTTCCGACGAATCCCAGCAAGCAGAGTAGCATAGGGATGAACGGGATCGTGCCTGTCGTTTATGAGGTGGATCGCTAACTGAGAGTCCGACTGCACCAGAATGGTTCTAAGACCTCTATTCCAAGCCAGCTCCAAACCATAAAACATAGCCCAAAGCTCGGCCAAAGTAGCAGAGGCCGCCCCAATGTTCGCCACAAAGCCGGCCAACCATCTTCCTGTCGTGTCCCGAAGCAGACCGCCCGCTCCCGCCGGGCCGGGATTTCCGTTTGACGCCCCATCTATGTTTAGACACGTCCACCCATCAGGAGGGTGGTTCCAGCTAATGTTCGCCATCGATCGGGCCGCCGGCAGCTGCCTGCTTATAGGGGTGACGGCCGGAGCGTTCCAAGCTTCATGCCACAATTTCACCTTAGCAATAATCGAGTGAGCAAGCGAGGGTGAGGAAAGTGCGCTTGTGGAGCCCTTGAAAGCGGTAGTGCATCTATTCTTCCATAACTGCCACGCTGCGATAGCGAAAAAGCTCGCCCATGACATCCCATGAGAAGACGTGTCCGAACGTCCCAAGTTATCCCGCAGCCACGACTCTTGATCCATGCTGAAAAACCTTCCCTGCTGCGCTCCATCGATCTGCCGGGACCAGAAATACATGGCAGGGGGACAATCCCGCAAGATGTGGATGATGGACTCCGGGGTACCTTGACAGCGAGGGCAGTCTGGGCTTGTAGCAATCTTTCGCCTAAACCGAAAAGAATTGGTAGCTATCTTGCCCCAGAGAACGGTCCACACAAAGACCCTGATCCTCTCCGGGACCTGCAGCTTCCAAATCACTTTCCAGTACTTCTCGTCTGGATCCGGGGGTGCTGTGTTGAGCATGTTGTAAGCTGACTTGGCTGTAAATCTACCGTTGGAGGACTCGGACCAAAAAAGCGAGTCGTCATCCCCAGCTATGATGTCGACGGCCACACTCATGAGCTTCTGCTGAACTTCGAACGGGAGGATATCTGCCAACACATCCATCTTCCAGCAGCCTTCCTGGGTAACAAAGTCCGCCACCTTCGCCTCGCTCCACTCCTCCGGGACCGGGTAGGTAGCCACGTCTTTAAGTGGGACCTGCAACAACCAAACATCAGACCAGAACTTAGTGTGTCTCCCGCTCTTTATATTCCAAGCACAGCCCTTCCGGAGAAGGGAGAAAGCTTTAGAGAAGCTGTTCCAGGTGAAGGAACTTCCCTGAACTGGCCTAAGAAGATCCAGATCCTTCCTTTGACCCCCGTATTTTGCTCTCATAACCTGAGTCCAAAGAGCCTCTTTCTCCGTGAGCAGTCTCCATCCACTCTTTGCAAGCATCGCCAGGTTTGCTTGCCTGATGGAACGAAGTCCTGCACCACCTTGCGCTTTCGGTCGGATCATCCTCTCCCACGCCACGAGGTGCATCTTCTGCTTGTCCTCATCGTCACCCCAAATGAAGTTGCGATTGATCCTGTCGATGCTTTGACACACAGCACTAGGAATCAATTCAGTATTCATATGATAGACAGGGATGGAAGAGGATACCGAGCTGGCCACAGTGAGGCGGGCTGCTAACGTCAGGCGTCGAGTCTTCCATGGCGCTAGTTTATTCTGGATTCGAAGCACCAAGCCGTGGTATCTCTCTCTCTTAACTCTACCGTGAATGGCTTCGATACCCAGGTATCTCCCGAGCTCAGCTTTAAGAGGAATCCCTGCTCTTTCACTAAGCCTCATAGCTTTTGAACGGCGGATGTTCGGCGAGACACACATCGCAGATTTGCCGAAGTTAATACGCTGCCCCGAGCTGAAGCAAAAATCATCGAGACATTCTCTGATAACTTGGATTTGCCTCGACTCCGCTTCCGCAAACAGAAGTAGGTCATCTGCAAAAAAAAGATGGGTGAGAGGGGGACCGTTTTTCGTAATCTTAACTGGCTTCCATTTTTTACCCTCAACAGCTGAGTCTATTAGATGTGAAAGCCTCTCCATGCATAAAACAAAAAGATAAGGGGAAAGAGGATCTCCCTGACGAACTCCACGGGAGGGATGGATCGGAGGAGAAAGGTTTCCATTCCACATAATGCGCATTCGGTTCTGCTCCACGCAGTACATAATGCACCTGATCCACGAGCTGGGAAGACCAATCTCCTTCAACGTATCCCTAATAAAGTCCCATCTCAACCTGTCATAGGCCTTCTCCAAATCAATCTTAACGATCAAACCGCCCTTTCTCCCCTTCTTCTTCCTGAAAGAGTGTAAAATTTCCTGGACCGTGATGATATTATCTGTAGTTTGACGACCCGGGATGAAACTGTTTTGCCTAGGGGAAATCAGCTTCCTCATAACAGGTTTCAATCTATCTGCCATAGCTTTGGTGATGGCCTTCAGGCTCACATTGTTCAGTGATATTGGGCGGAGCTGAGTCACATACTCCGGGGATTCCACTTTAGGAATCAAGACCATCGTGGACTCCGAGACTTCCTCCGGTAGAACTCCAGTCGAGAAGAAGGATAAAGCCATGTCTGTCAAGCTTTTGCCCACTACATTCCAAAGCTTCTGGTAGAACGCAGCCTGGTACCCATCCGGCCCCGGCGCTTGGAAGGGTTTCATCGCGAAAATAGCCTCATGGATGTCCATCATAGTAAAAGGCCGAAGGAGAGACATGAGTTCTAACTGATCCAAACGAGGAAACGCTTGCTTCGGAAGTTTGTCCTCGTAAAAGGAGTCATCCTGCTCGTAGAGTGAGGCGAAGAAGCTGAAGACCAGATCTGCCAGCTCCTGCGGATCTTCCACCCACTCGCCACTGCTGGACCTGAGCGCCCGAATTTTGTTACGCCGTCTTCTTATGTGAGTCAGCTGATGGAAATAAGAAGTATTTCTTTCCCCGAACCTCACCCACTTCTCCCTTGCTCTTTGAAACCAGATCAATTCCTCTTGTTCAAGAACCTTGTCCAGCTCTGCTTCTAGCTTCGAGTGCAGCTTGGCTAGCCCGGGGGTGAAACTGATAGCAAGGGTCCTCTCCACCCCTTTAATCCTCCCCAGGAGACGGCGCTTCTTTTGTTGAATATTACCGAAAACATTAGCATTCCAATCCCGCAAACTCATTGCCAGCTCGCGGAGCGCATTGGGAAGGTCCTGGTTCTGCTCCCATTTCCCTGTAACAAAATCCAAAAAGGTAGGGTGAGTAAACCAAGCTGCCTCAAATTTAAAAGAACGATTAGGAGGTCTAGATTGCCCCTGGATAGCAATCGTAGTGAGAATGGGATTGTGGTCCGACTGCACCCTCGGAAGGTGGAGAACAGAGGTGTTAGGGAACATCGTATTCCACTGAAGGTTGCAGAGACTTCTGTCCAAACGGCTAGCCTTATACGTGCTGTTTTGATCACCCCTAGTCCAGGTAAAACGGGGCCCGGAAAATCCCAGATCAATAAGCTCGGCAAGGTTAATTTGCTCATTGAAAAACCTGCACCTGCGAAAAGTATCCGATGAAGCAGACCCTGATTTCTCCTCTGGAGCTCTTATCGCGTTAAAATCCCCGGAAAGAATCCACGGGACAGTAATGTCTCTGCTTTGCTGAATGAGGTTGTCCCAGAGAACCCGTTGCTGACTTCGTCTTGGAGACGCGTAAACCGCGGTTAACAGCCAAGGATGACCGCCAGCTTGCGAGATACGGAGGGATAAATGTTGAGAAGAGGCTGTAAAAATCTGGGCGCTGAACTTGTTGTTGTCCCAGAAAATCCATATGCCACCCTTCCTTCCCTCTGCCTCCACCCTCATCACGTTGGGATACCCCAATTTATCACACACCGAATTAGCGGTGTTACCGCTGATCTGCGGCTCGAGAATAATCACAAAATCAGGCTGATGCTCCTGGATAGTGAACTTCAAGGAGCGGGCAAAAGCTCTACTACCTGCTCCACCAACGTTCCAAGACAGAATTTTAATTGAACTATGATTGGGAACTGACATATTAAACAACAAAAAGGACAAGAAAGGGCGAGGAAAAGAAAAGGATCGAAAAACACCGGATCAAGCGGATGAGGGCGCAGCTCCAGGCATTTCTCCCGAAGACAGATTCCCCGTCAGAGCCGTTGGCGTAAAACCCTCATCAGCCTTCTCCTTGGACTTCGATGTCGTTGCCGCTTCGGTCCAAGCGTTAATCTCTTGTAAAGTGAGGGTTGCCATCCTAGCTCGGGATTTGGACTTCCTGTCCTTCACCGGGGACCATATCTTCAGAGCTTTGGCCGGATTGTATTTCGCGGGAGAGTGCTTCTTCGGCTGGTTCTTGGAATTCTTGGCGCGTTTGGTATTTTCCCCCTGGGTCCCCGAAGAGTCTCTCCGTCGGGTAGTGGTCTTCGAGGGAGAGAAGGGTGGAACAAGAACGATCTGCATATTGGTTCCATTTTCCCCCCTAACCGAATGGGTCAGAATTGTTGAGGGAGGGTCCTTTCTTGGACTATTTTTGTTGTCCGCTCCGCAGATCGCTAGCCCCGAACCATTAGTGACATTTTTGGGCTCGGAAGCCTGCCTTCCTTCTGTCGAAGAGGAGGAAGCCTTGTCAGCTTCTATGGGCCTCGGGCCCGAGATAGCCTTGCTATTAACAAAAGGACGTGGTCCCAGGACTCCCTTCGATGCATCACTTGCCTCCAACGACATCTTTCCTTTTCCTTTACCATGCTCATCACCACCTTTCTTAGTGTTGTTATTTCCTTTCTTGTCCAGCACTAAGGTCCTGGGCGATTGAGAAAAATCCTCGCCTTCCTTTTGCTTGTTTGCCCCCTTTCCATTTCTGCCCGAGTATCCTGAAGGATTCCCTCCAACGTCCGTCTCCACTTTCCCCTTTTGCTGACCATCCCGAGAATGCCGCCGACTCTTCCGAGTAACCAACATCCAAGGCCCGAACCCGGCCTGAGATTCCGGCGCCGCTTCCGATTGGCTTTTTTCCGGTGTAACGCCGACCACCGTAACCTGTCCCTCGCTCATCGATTGGTGCAGTAGTGGGCATTTGGAACCCGAATGACCGATCCTGCCGCACTCAAAACAGACTGCCGGTAGATTTTCGTATTCCACCTTTTGCCACTCCTCGTCTAGATATATCCTCGGTACCAGAGGCTTTGATAGATCCACCTCTACGGCAATTCTGGCGAACTTCGCTCGCTGTTGATTTAGGGTATGATAATCTAGCTTGATAGTGCGCCCAATCAAATTTCCGATCGAATTCAGAACCTCCTTGTGATAGAAGTGAATCTTCAGCGCCGGTAGCTGAACCCATACGATCATCTTCTTCGGGAGGGGGTCGGACGCTTTGAACTGCGGCGTCCATTGTTGAACCATGAGATAGTGATCGAAGACCGTCCAAGGGCCATCGGTGAGAGCCTTGAAGTAATCTTGCTCGTTGTCCAGCTTGACCAGAAAACAGTCATGGTCAAGGTCCAAGACTTCCATTGTCCCTACCGGGCGCCACTGAGACCGCAACCGAGAGCATAAAGTATTGAAACCCACTTTACTACCCAGGAGCCGGACCACCAGCGTTTTCTGCCACGGAGCACACAGACGTTCCTTGAAACCGTTCGAGACCTTGAGTGCCGGCTCCCCAAGGTGATCACCTGGAACCAGATCGTGTTCTCCAACCGCTACCCATTGAATCGACGAGAGGGGTTGAGAGAGCACATTTCTCCCCCCCGTCACCGCTCCAGCATAAGAGACCTGTCCAACCACCTTCGGATTCAAAGTGTTCGTGCCGGTCGTCAAAGCTGCTGTCTGCGTAACACCGCCTTCCAGAGACGTCACGCCGGGATCCTTCGTAGCATGACCTTGCGTTTCAATCTGCATTTGTTCGTGATCCGGAGGTCTTCCAGAGAGGGGGGCCGATGACAGCAGCGGCGATATTCCGTCCGGCGGAGTCGAGAGCATTTCAGAGAATTTTTTTCCCAAGAACGTCCTTATATCAATTAAAATGATATAGTACTAACTAGGATAGTCCCACAAAGTTAGGAGTAAAATTCATGCCTTAAAGCCAAAATAAATAAGTACAAAAGTCTAACCACATTAAAAAAAACTCAAATTTCTTTAAATTCATTGAAATCAAAATGAAAATAAAACCGTCTTAAAGGTCCCGCTAGTTTAGGGAAGTAGATCCTTTAAAAACAAATAAGCAAACCCAATTAAATGAGTCTGAACAATAAAAAGAACGGATTCAATAAAAAAAAATAGGAATGTTTCATAAAAAAAACAAATAGTAAGGAAATTCTGAGTTATTAGAATTAATTATAATTGATAAAGGAAATTAAAAGCTAATTTGACAAATAATATAAATTTCAATACATATAAGGAAGTAATTAAATAATCTGAATTAGTTCTACTTACCTCAACGTAAATCGACGAGGTAATTATGGAGGAAATAGTAAAAGCTAATGTAACACATAGACAAACATAAACGTTGAAACTAAAAGAAATAGGAAGGTAGTTAGATAAATTACTTGTAACGTAATTGCGGAAACGAGAAATAAGGTAACCGGCGCCACCGTAATCAGAAGACTGCCGTAGCCAAACGCTGACCAGGCAACCATAGCTGAGTTTAGAGCATAATCCAGCGACGCCACTGCCAAAAGGATCGGCAGAGCAACATGATTACAACCGTAAAGTTGAGGGGAGAGGGACTTACCGGGACCAGACAAGTGATTTCCGGCCAATTGCCCACAACTTAAAGCAGCGGCGGATCCAGGATTGGGTAGAGCACTGGGCCACATTGGAAAAAAGCAGAGAAGGCTGGGCCGTAATATGACGAATACTGAAAAGAACACCGAAACGAACACCAAAAATCGGAAATTTACACGTGCTATACTAGCTACGGATCGAGGGAGGGCTGGGCCGTGGCCCGGGGGCGGCCCCCCCTAGATCCGCCGCTGACTTAAAGTGATTTGTGGATACGAGGCTTAGCGGGTTTAGAGAAGACTTTGTGACCGGTATGGTCTTGCGACTAGATCCCCACCTTTCTCGTTCCGGTATGGTCTTGCGGTCCGTAGTAAAATGCTGCAAACAAGTTATTTGTGTCCATATAACTTATTGTGAGTTATTTGCAGTGTTGTCAAAACCGAACCGGACATCGATCCGGAATCATGAGAGGTTTAAGGTTTATCGGATAACCGTTGATTAACCGGTATCAAGAACCGGTCATAAACCGGTGCTTGGCTCCAAATAAGAAGAAATTAAGAAATAAATATAGAATAAAAATAAAATAAAAGGCACAACACAAAAAAAAGGAAGGGCATAGGTGGTTGTAGAAAGTTGGATAGCTATCAGCCTATCATTTCCACTTCCCCCGTTGCCTCATTTCCCTTTTTTTTAAAATTATTAATTAAGGCAATCCAAAAATCCTATGCGTTTCACCAAAAAAAAAAAAAAAAATCATATGCGTCATTTAAAGTTTGCCCAGCCGTCCGTTTTAGTGCTTCCGGGACCGGAGCTGTGTCCGGGTCCGGGTTTTCCCGGTCTGACCGGCCGGTCCGGTCCGGTTTTTATAACAGGGGTTATTTGAACCCAAGTAACTCTCTCAAATACTCTATCCAAACGTTTGATTACACATAAAATATACTTTTTTGTCACCTCATTTCATGGCATTTTAATTTGATTTTTTTTTGTTCAAAAGTGCATTTGATAGCTTCCATGTATTTTTTTTACACATTTGAAGCATTTTGGATAAACATTTTGGATGTTTGCATGGCAAGGCATCATGGCATGAAAAAGAACAAGAATATGAGCATTTGGAATCAAACAAAAGTGGATTCGATGGTCAAATCAATCTATGGTCTTGTATTTTTGTCATTAATGATAAAAAAATATGTCAAAATTATATAAATACATCAAAATATTCATGCTAATTAACTTTTACTATCTATATACAAACTACGACCAAATTATATAGACAAAGCAACGAAATCAATACCAAATTAATTTCACCCAAAAATCCAATCTCACTCTTTCTCGCTTTATCTTATTCCATTGTAGCTCTCTCTTCATTGAAGTGAAAACATTCCAAATTTCTCACCACTTTTCCCCACATAGCTTTGGCTGGTCTAACTAGTTTTAAAATCAATATCACAAATGGATGATAGCTAGAGGTGGCAAATAATTGGATCTATGTATTGGTGGACTGGATTGGTAGATTAATTAATTAAGTGGATTGGTGGATTCATGGATTGGATTATATGGATAGGTGGATTGATCCATGGATTCAAATGATATCCAAGTCTTGGACCAAAATGTTAATTTTGAAATGTTGACGTACTAAAATGTCATAAGAAAAAAAATTAGGTACCAAAACATAATTTTCCAATGTAAGTTTTGTATAAAAAATAAATTTGAGGCACCAAAATCTAAAATATAAAAAGTATAGGTACTACATTGTAGTTTGCCATTTGGATCCTTGGATCAATCCTTGAATCCACCATCTTCGACATGTTCTTACCTAAATTACATATAATTTTAGTCAAATTATTTAGATTCTCACTTTTGTTACCTCATATTTTAGCTATAAAGTAGTCGCTAATAAGTGAACACATCATTTTTTTATGAGAATAAAAAATTATCATTAAGCGCCAGGACATCCAAGTGAACACATCATTTACTCCAATAATTTAACTATATTTATCATGGGGTTAATTGCATGGTTGGTCACTAAGATTAAAAAAAACTTTCAAGTTTGGTTACTCGAAATATTTAAATTCATTTGTGGTACTTCAGTTTACTGAAATCGTTCACGTTTGATCACTCTCCATCCAACTCCGTTAACTTTGGTTGATGTGGCAGTCAAATCTCAAAGCTGATCGTTAACTTAGTGACGTGACAACTAAAAAATTATTAAAAATAAAAAAAAATAAACTTTTATATTTTCCACCTAATTATTACATTCATTAAAAATAAAAAAAATAAAAAACCTAATTTCTTTTCTACAAACCCTACCCGACCCAACCTCCACCGCCGTCGCGGCATCCGACCACCGTAGCAACACCCGACGAGCCAGAAAATGTGGAAAGTCTGTAAGGATGACCCCCGGCGAGCCATTCACGCTGTCAAAGTCGGGCTTGCACTCACTCTGGTCTCCATGCTCTACCTCCTTGAGCCCCTCTTCGAAGGGATCGGCCAGAACGCCATTTGGGCCGTCATGACCGTCGTCGTCCTCGAGTTCACTGCCGGTAACGTCAAAACCCCCCTAGTAGCCCCTTTCGCTAATACTCTCAGAAGTAATTTTCCCCCCTTAATACGAATTATGAAACAAGGGTGACCCTGTGCAAGGGGCTGAACAAGGGATTAGGCACCATCTTGGCGGGTTCATTAGCGTTTCTAATCGAGTTCATCGCCGAGGCAACAGGGCAAGTCGACTGCGCCATCTCATCGGTTTGCGCGGTCTTCATTATTGGTATGAAGCTTTTTCCATCTCAATCATCTGTTTCTTTGTCATTAAGTTTAAAGATAGATAGTCACAAAGTCTGTGTAGACAAAATAATCAAATTGTCGATAAAAGGACCTTTACAACCGTTTTTTATTAGTGATTATGAATTAGCGCAATTGGTTAACTTTACCGGGTTCAATCTGCTTACTTTTGTCGTTATTGACATCCCAAAAAATAAGGGCGGCGACGACTTACCTGAGGTTCTTGCCGTACGTGAAGAAGAACTACGACTACAGAGTCGTCATCTTCCTCCTCACCTTCAATCACATCACTGTCTCCAGCTTCCGGGTCAGCAAAGTTATGAAGATCGCGCACAACGGTGGAGGTTGGGTCAGGTACGATATGGGGGTTTGTAGAAAAGAAATTATGTTTTTTTTAATTTTTTAATGAAATGTAATAATGAGGTGGAAAATATAATTTTTTTTTAATTTTTAATAATTTTTTAGTTGCCACGTCATTAAATTAATGGTCAACTTTGAGAGTTGACTGCCACATCAGCAAAGTTAACGGAGTTGGACGGAGAGTGACCAAACGTGAATGATTTCAGTAAACTGAAGTACTACCAATGGATTTATATATTTCGAGTGACCAAACTTGAACTTTTTTGTAATCTCAATGATCAACCATGCAATTAACTCATTTATCATGTTATAGTTTTTTTATGAGTTTTTTTTAATGAAAATCATGAATATATCTAATATTTGGCCTTTAAATTATTATGTACTTAAATAAACCGACCTACACCAACTCGTAAACCCATGATAAATTACTCGAGTTGGACTCTACCTACTACAAGACATTGCCAATTGCCATTCCTAACGGTAACAACGCATCCGCATCGTAGGATAACCAAGTCCACTGTACACAGGATCGAAGCCCTCGCTTGGGAAGTTTCCCTAGGTCAGCCCATTGCAGCCAATAAAAACCCAAACATTTTGCTCAATTCAACGCACGCAGCCTTACTCGCAACAGTTTCTCTACGCGCTTATCTCTCCACTCTCCGCTCTCCCTCAGCGTCTGAATACTCAGCTGCATTTTCAGGTGACGATCTTGATTCTTGTTTTCCGTTCTTCACAGTATTGCGACTGTCTATCGGATCTATTCGTTTTCACTTTCGCTTTCTACATCTTTCCTTTCTGCGTAGATCTGTGGTTTTCTGTTCTCTCTTGATTTTGATCGCTCCATGATGTTTCTCTAAGATCTGATTTTTCGGTTTGCTAGGGTTTGATCTTTTTTCAATTATCATTGCGTTCTGGCTTTTACCGGATACTGAATTGTTGATTGTTTCCGGATGATCTGATTGATTCAGATCTAATTTTTGTCCGGCGACATAACCGTGATCTTTTCCGGTGGATTGTTGAATAATTCAGCTGCTCTCCTTTCTGCGTTCCGTTTCGTGTTTTTTTTTTTTTATAGATCTAGTGTCTGTGATATGCTTCTGTTTTACGATGCTTACATTCATTTTCGTGACTGTGGCTCGTCGATGCGTTCTAGGTGTTAGATGGGTCTTTTGGTCTGAGGGCTGTGCTCCTCTTATTGTTAACAATCGATTCTTGTCTTGGCCTACATCATTAAAGATTCAATTTGGGCCTGTTTGATTGTGATAATTGATCCGATTTTGCCCTAGATAACTCCTTGCATTATAAACGATATGATCGCCTCTCTTACTCTCCCTAGATAAATCCTTGTATTATAAACAATTTGATTGCCTTACTCTGTAATCAAATCCAATCACAACCATTTTGACTTTTGAGCTGCTTGTTAAAACCTTTGCTGGATTTCCATGATTGATTTGTTATACAATTTAGGATGTGGGTGATCTGTCTTGGATGATGTTACACTTTGATGTGCTGCACACGTTTAAATGTTTGCCCTTTAGAAATACTGTGCCTGAAAATGATTTGTGATTTGTGTGGTTGTAATGGGTTTCCTAGGTTTGATCCTTGTCTTCCAGTGTCAAACTACATTGAAGTGATTGCTTTGGATTCTATAATGTGTCTTGATGTAATTATTTTAATTTACCTTCTGTCACTTGCAGGGAGAGTGACAATGGCTGATAAGGTCCAACACCCCACAGTGATGCAGAAGGTTGCTGGCCAGTACCTGGCCTCCCAGGATGTTCAGAGGTATGATGGTGCTTTCCAGAGGCCTGCCTTGTACCAAAGGCGTGCATATGGAAACTACTCTAACGCAGCATTCCAGTACTGTGGTTCATCTTCATCTGTCTCGTCCATTGTACCATCAACTGGATCACCTGTTTTTGTTCAAGCACCAGCTGAGAAAGGGTTGGCAGGCTTTGCTATTGATTTTCTCATGGGAGGAGTCTCTGCAGCAGTTTCTAAAACTGCTGCTGCACCTATTGAGCGTGTGAAGCTTTTGATCCAAAATCAGGACGAGATGATCAAGACTGGCAGACTTGCCGAGCCCTACAAGGGTATTGGTGACTGTTTTAAGAGGACAGTTGCTGATGAAGGCTTTGTTGCATTGTGGAGGGGTAACACAGCTAATGTCATCCGTTATTTCCCCACCCAGGTTAAATCAACTTACCTAGCCTCTTCCCAATTTCAAATTCTTTTCACCCTTTTTTTCTGATGACTTGTATCTTTTGGATTTAAATTCTGTCAGGCCTTGAACTTTGCCTTCAAGGACTACTTCAAGAGGCTGTTCAACTTCAAGAAGGACAGGGATGGTTACTGGAAGTGGTTTGCTGGTAACTTGGGATCAGGTGGTGCTGCTGGTGCATCTTCCCTTCTCTTTGTGTACTCATTGGATTATGCTAGAACCCGTCTGGCCAATGATGCCAAGGCTGCCAAGAAGGGAGGCGAGAGGCAATTCAATGGTCTAGTTGATGTCTACAAGAAGACTTTGGCATCTGATGGTATTGCTGGGCTTTACCGTGGGTTCAACATCTCTTGTGTTGGAATCATTGTCTACCGTGGTCTCTACTTTGGGATGTACGACTCTCTAAAGCCAGTTCTCTTGGTTGGTGACCTCCAGGTCAGTTAACTCAAAACTCTTTAATGCTTTGAAGTAAGAAATAAGCTCTTTCTTATTTAAGCTGTTGGCTACCATTATTAACATATATATCTGTTTGTTTGTTTGTCGGGTGAACTTGCTACATTTCAGGATAGTTTCTTCGCTAGCTTTGCACTGGGTTGGCTTATTACCAATGGTGCTGGTCTTGCATCCTATCCAATTGACACCGTGCGCAGAAGAATGATGATGACGTCTGGCGAAGCTGTGAAGTACAGCAGTTCGCTGGCTGCGTTCAAGCAGATTGTCAAGAATGAGGGGACCAAGTCTCTCTTCAAGGGTGCTGGCGCAAACATCCTCCGTGCCGTTGCTGGTGCTGGTGTGCTTGCTGGTTACGACAAGTTGCAGCTGATTGTTTTCGGCAAGAAGTACGGATCCGGCAGTGGTTAAGTTCCGTCACTGGTCTCTCTTTTTAGCCGTTTAGATGTTGATGAAAATCTTTCACATTCCGGGAGAAGGTGGTCCTCGCAGCAGACAGTCGTTATGATATGTTTCTTCAAATAATTACAAATTTTTTTTTTGAGAGGGGGTGGGTGATAAATACCCCCTGGACTTGCTTTCACTTGGGAATTTTGGATTAAGAAAGCTTTACATTACTAGTTTGTGGCCTAAGGTGCCACTGTCGGATGTTTCTATTTTCTGTCATCGATTTGAGCGTTAATCGACATACATTCCTGTTATCCTTTTGTTATGCATTCGCATGTATTACTGTCATGATAATTTAGGTCCGTCTTGTATTGAAGTTCGCGATCATTGTGGTGGTAAGATCAATGGTCTGTTCACTATTACAACAGATTAAACTTGTCTACACGCTCTTTCTACATCATTGATTTCGCGTGTCGGATCGAAAGGCGCAGTAAAATGAAAGTCTTTGTCAGCCTACCGACAAAGATTGACCAGTTGCATAACTCATTCGTTGGGGGCAAAGTTGTTGCTTTGCGTATGAAAGCTGGGAGTAGGCAATTGATAATGTGATCATGCGATAGAACTTAGAAGAATCGTTACCAATGCCATCAATAGTCACGCAGAATATATCCCCCAACTGTATTCTTTTCTCATTGCAAAACCTTTTATCGACTTGCCACTTTCACTAGGATCCCCTTTCTGGCTTCCTCTTTCCTCCATTGTTGACCAAGTTCTCTTTGGACCTCATATTTAAAAGGAGCACTAAGGCGTTATGCCCTATTCGGTGGTTTTCAGGGACTGTGGCAAGAAAGAGTTCCTTGCTTGCAAGCTAAGCATCCTTGTATCACGTCCCATACAAAACTAATATATGGTCATGGAAGTTCGTTTCCTCACCATTTCGTACGCACATCTGCATTATCCAATGGTGGAGTGGAGCGTTTATACGCCAACCAGGATTTATGGTCCGTTCAATAAAGCTTGTGATATGACCAAAGTAGGCATCAACTTGAATCTTTTTGATTTTCGAACTATTTTCTTCAACTCAAATCAAAATAAAGGATAAGGTGGAACACGACCAAACAATTCCAACTCATGAGAAGGACCAATTGTTATAGAAACCAACCAAACAATCTCCAACTCGTGAATAAGGCCAATCACAATTTGGTAGAAACTCGCCATTAACTAGATGAGATCATCTAGTTGATAAGAGACGTACAATCTCCAAAAATCATCGACATAAGTCTTGCACAAACGTTCAATGATGAACACGAGATAAACTCTATAACTTGATTGATAAAACTTGTGATTGATGATAAAATTCGTAGGTATTACACCCTCTACTTACAGAGGGCACAAAAACATAAAACTAACCCTCTAGGAATAGAAAAACAAATCCCAAACTAAGTAGGAAACATAATACTAATTAAATAAGTACTAAAGTCGCTTTTATGACTAATGGAACTCCTTAGCAGCTAAGTGGTTAAGCAATTTCCTTCCTTCTTCGTTTCACACTTGGACGACTTGGGCAACAAACATGGACGTCTTGGACCCCAAAAAATGGTGGGGCTAGGACCTTCATGCCGCCCACGTCCAAATATTTCCATGCCCATGCAATCAACCAAAGAATTATGCAATAGTAATAACAAAGAGTAGTTACCTTCATTTTATCCATCAAGAACGATCCCAATTGATCCTTATATCTCTAGATTCGAACCTTAATCTTTGGACAACGGGAATTTTATACCGTGCTAGTCGATATTGCATCTGCTTGGAGTTCAGAGGTTTATGTTTCTCTCTTGGTAAGAGTTTGCAGAAAACTAGTAATTTTGAAAGGGTTGCTAAGAAAGTTAAATAAGAAAGTCTATTCTAATTTGAGCACAATAGCACAAGAGCCTAGATCTAGATAAATGAGTGTCCAACATATTTTTTCACCCTACTTGGAGCATGATTAGTGCATAGGTCACAACTACTATTCAGTCTTGCTTCGATAGTGTACAGATTCCAAAAGAGATAACTTTCACTCTGTTAGCCTTAATACCAAAGATATAATAACCCCCTAAAAATGAAGTTTTTAGGTCAGTATCTAGTTGTAATACATTGCACAAATGTTTTGATAAGATTCTAGCATTAAGGCTAAGTGAATTTGTTCATTGGTAATCAAGGATAATCAAACTGCTTTTATGAAAGGAGGAAAAATAGGAGAGAACATTGATAATACCCAAATGTTATTTCCCTCCCTAGATCTTGGTGTTTTTAATGTGGATTTGTAAATCAATGAGTGTTTAAATCCACATTTTAGTCTTCAATTGCTTCCTATCATATATATGATCTCTATTAGGTGAAGGTATGTGTGTTTAGCACATGTGAAGAAGATTAGAGACTCAAGTGTAGGAAAATGAGCCATACAGAGTTCATGTGTGAAAAGGAGTAGATCACAGTCGGAAATATTCTATCGCAAATTGAAGATTATGTGGCATGTAGAAGATCACAATCAGGATATTTTGTCCCAATGCTGTGAACTTCAGGAGCTCATCGACAAGCATATCATAAGGTCGTACGGTCTCACTCGTGGGCCTACAACCTAAGAATACAAGAAAAGATCAAGGCAAAAAACTGGGTTAACATCTGGGGTCACCAGCCGCGAACTCCCATCATTAACAGGGTAAGATGGCGTCTCATGGAGATCGCATGTCAATCTTCGAGTTCACAACCCAGAACTTTAAAATTCCTGTGAACTTGTCCAAATTTCTGTATTCTATAAACAGAGGGAGACCCCCAAAAGTTTTAAAGGAGGCTGAAGGGAGAGTAAGTCATACATATGTTAGAGAGAGTAATCTTCTTTTCATTTGAATAAGAGAGGAGCTAGAAGAAGAGAAGAGGAGCCCGAAGAAGAAGAGTTAGAGCTAATTCTCAGCCTTCAAGAGATCTTCCTAATGCTTTTTTGTATGAATTTATTACATGTAATTTATTACATGCAGATTAGATGCGATGATAAATTAGGGGCTTGACATAGAGTAGATGACCATTCACCTAGTGAATTTGGGACTTACTCAACTGATTCTCTTTGGGTGGTTGCGTGAGCATTGAGCCATTCAAATTGTGTGCTTATGTGTTAAACCCATTTATATAGGTTAGGAGTTACCCCTAGCAAAGGAAGCCAAATGCATGATCATTGAATTGGTAGGTGTAGCTAGGAGGGGAGTTTGAGAGATATGATCATTGCACCAACTCCCATATTAGTTGTCCTCGCACCAAAATGTGCCATAGACAACTATTTCCATCCATTCCATTCCATTACCTCGCATTAGGGTGAGTAAACCAAACCTCAGACACCACTTCTTATCTCTTGCATTTGTATAGCTTTTGAAGTCCTTTGATTCGACCTCTTGAAGTCCTTTGATTCGGTTGAATGGAAATTTTTGGTCAAAGTATTAACAACCATGAGATTTCCTTCCCTGTTTATAAGTTGGCTAGAAATGTGTATATGATGACACGTAAAACATACTATTTTTTACCCTTTATTATGGCAAGAATTGCATGGTTTTCATATCTTTAGTTCCATTATCACTTGCATTGCTTAATAATTGCTCAAAGTGCATTTTAGTTCCATTATCACTTGCATGGTTTCTACCAATGAACCTTATGAAACACTATGGCAGAAGAAATCAAGTCCACATGGATTTGGCAACCAACCTCAATACAAGGCGCAAGGAGAAGGTGTCAAAGAACCCGCCAGATTTGAGAAGCTTTAAGGAAGGATGATAGGATTGTAAGCGAGCTACAAGAATATTTAAAGAAACTTGCACTCCTCATTGATGCTGAACCTCATAAGCCTCAAGGAAACCTCCCAAGCAACATAGAGAACAATCCAAAAAGGAGGAAGTCAAAGCCATCTCGACATGGATGGGAGTTGCCAAAAGTTTCCCGAACATTAAAAGGAGGAAGAGAAGAAAGGAGCTGAGTATCCATCTCTCTTCAGAAATATGATAGAAGCTTTTGGAGGAACAAAAGCGGCAGTGGCAATATTGGAGAAGATGATTTCCATGGAATATCTCAAAGGAGAAGAACCGCAAACAAGGAGCTCTAGGAGAGAAGATTAGAGTTCTAGTTGAGCTTGGATAACTCGAATAGGGAGTTCAAGCGAGTTTAGGATTCTCCATAGTATAAATATCTAGTGGGAAAGTTTGGAACGTCAGTCATTAGTCTAATATGTGGTTAGAGGGAAGCCCACCCGAGTGACTTTCTCTCAATAGATTTTAATCAATCTTTACTTTATTTCCTTGTTAGTTGATAGATTATACCAAACCTAGATTTGCTGGATAACAAATAGTTCACAAAGTAATAGTAGACTTACCGCACGGGTTGATAATTAAAGGTTACTTTTGTTGTACTACACTCGATTGTTGGTTATAGTTGGCTTTCGGTTGGGATAGTAGTGTAGGCACGAGTCAATGCTTTCACGTTAGGTAACCACTCCTCCTTAGGTTTTCCCTTTTGTGACTTGGGTTGCTTGAGTGGTGAAGAAGGAGAGGGATCTTGATCCTACAAAACATTCATCACAAGTGGATACACGACATACTCATGAGGTGTAGTATTCTCCATCATCGTCTGATATTCCTCTAATTTATGGTTGGTGCTCATGCACCAATCACACTGCATACATTGGTACTTAGGTCGTTGCCATACAAACCATATGTCCTATCCATCCTTTTGATGAGATAACCAATCTTGGCTTCAAGAGAAGGCTGAGAATCAACCTGCAAGATGCCTCTTTCTCTGGACCCCTTGCTTCTACGTGGGAATCCCCAATCATATCCTCGAGCGGCCATTTCTTCAAACAAGTGACTCATCTGTGACGGAGTCTTATTCAACATTCCTCCAGCACATAAGGAATCAATAAGCTGACGAGCCTCTTGAAAGATGACATTGTAGAAAGTCAACACCTTTAAATAAGCATCAAATTCGTGATGTGGGCACTTCACGAAAAAGGCTAGTATACCGTTCCCACGTATCACGTAGTGTCTCATCCTCCTGAGCAAAGTGAGTAATCTGCTTTTGAAGCTAAGAAGTCTTTGAACAAGGAAAATAGTTGACCAAGAACATCTCTATAAGATCAGTCCATGAAGTGATGGAGAGTGGAGGCTGGTTGTTCAGCTACTACATCGCTCGCCCTCTTAGAGAAAACCTATATGGACGCAATCGAATAGCATCATGTGGCATGTTGTTGGCCTTGATTCCATATGTCAGCTCCAGGAATCTGTGGATCTGTTCCTTTGGTTCTTCATTCTGTAGCCCTAGAATTGAATGGCGTTCTTGATCTTGAAGTTATTGACAAAAATTTGTGGGTGTCCAATGTTGGATTTAATTTCCTCGGCCTTGGGGGTAGAGTAGACCCCCACTGTCCTCTCTAGCTCATTAGTTGGTTGTTCTCCAGGCGGTTGTTCATCTCCCAAGGCATCAACCTTGACTTGTACTTCAGGAGGCTTATGGTCCACTGCTTGCTAAAAAGCTTGCCTGCGGTCCCTCTCCCACTTAAGTTCACATAAGGTCTAGTTGATGTTGTCATCCAATGACAGTAAGTTATCTGGTTGGCTACGAGCCAGACACTACTTGCCACACACTAATCAACAACCATGAACGCACAAGGGGGAGAAAATAAAAAAACACAAAATAAAGCTCAAGTATTCACTTTTCCTTGTAATTCATAACCATACCCGACAATGACGCCAAAAACTATCACTCCAATCAATGACCAAGTAGTATAGTGGAAGTAAGCTTTAAATATCAATCCAGATCCCCAGAAGTACTATTATTCAGTGATGACTTGTTATCTAGCAGGTCGGTTGTGAAAACAATTAACTATAAAACTAAGAAATCGAACAAAGTTTATTCGGGTTTGAAATATGATGAATGTCACGCAGATATGAATCCCCCTAGCTCATATTTAGGTCGATGTCACTTATTCTGTAGTTCGTTTCACTTGATACTTTTACTGTGGGGAATCCTCTACTAATCTTGAATCTCGATTAAAGTAGACAAGACCCTCTTAAACAGACTGCATAGTGGGACATTATTCTCAGATTCCTATAAATAGTTGGAGACCCCTAAGAGGTCAAACCAAGACATATTTACACAACTGTTAGAGAGAGAAGTGTTTTTCTCCGCTGAAGAAGAGGAAACCTAGAAAAAGAGAAGAGGAGCAAGGGGAAGAAGATTTGAAGCTAATCTCCAACATCCGAGAGGCCTTCCCCATGTTCTTCCTCCTTATTTATGTGTTTCTCTTCCCCCTTCATGGGGTAGTTTTCTAAGGTATTTGGGACTAAGTTCCCCAAACCCTAACCGAGGTTTTATGTGTAATGGGATGACTTATTTAATCTATGGTATGAGTTTCATTTAATTGATGTTCTTAATACATTGTTGCATGAATTAATTAAACATGGTTATCAATTGCATAAGTTCATTAGATGTGACAATGATTTAGGGGCTTGACCTAGAGTAGATGACCATTCACCTTGGTCAAGTAAGGACTTACTCTATCGATGCTCTTTGAGTGGCTGCATGATCATTTAGCCATTCGAATTGTGTGCTTATTAGGTTAAACCATTTAAAGATGATATATATTACTCCTAGCTAATGAAGCTTATTGCATGATCATTGATTTGGTAGGTGTAACTAGGAGAGGGGGAGGGGGGGGGGTTAAGAGACATGATCATTGATTTGGTAGGTGTAACTAGGAGAGGGAGGGGGGTTTAAGAGACATGATCATTGCACCGACACACATCAGTGATCCTCACACCAAAACATGTCATATATGACTAACCCTCGATACCGCTTCTTCTTTCTTGCAACTTGTGTAGCTTTAGCTAGTAAACTTGAAAACAACTTAACAATCAACTAGATAACTACCGGGTTAATTGCATGGTTAGTCACTGAAATTACAAAAGACGTTCAAGTTTGGTCACTCGAAATGTTTAAATTCATTGGTGGTACTTCAGTTTACTGAAACCGTTCACGTTTGGTCACTCTCCGTCCAACTCCGTTAACTTTGGATGATGTGGTAGTCAACTCTCAAAGTTGACCGTTAACTTAATGATGTGGCAATTAAGAAATAATAAATAAAATTTTATTTTATTTATTTTAATGTCCAACTTATTTTTACCATAAAATAAATAAATAAAATAAAAAATTACTATAAATATCAAATTAAAAGCGGGGATCCGAAACCTCACCATCTTGTGCTGCTGGCCGCCGGCGACAACCATAAAGGAGCTACTGCTCACGATTGCCGACAAGTTCTGATGCTCGGATGTGAAATCTCCCGCCGTCGACACGGACCATAGAGGAATATTGGTGTAGAAAGGAGACTCTCGAGCCGGCCACCAGATCCCTACCTCGACACGGACAGGGGATTAGGTCTAAACCTCCTCGGACTAATTTGAACTGAAGTAGTGCCTCTGTACGAATGAAGTACTGCAAATCTAAACCCCAAAGCTAATCCCCACTCCGAATGTAAGGAGTCCAGACTAGATTTGAACAAATCAATCAATTTCTATCATCTCATCTTCCTTTTATATAGAGCAGAGTAGAGCATCTTGTAGATCGATTTGAATGAGTATGAGTCACCTTTCTTTTCCAACTTGAATTGAACTAACTCCAATAACAGGTCAGACGGGAAGGAGATTTACACCTAATCCCCGGTCCGTGTCGAGGTATGGATCTGGCGGCCGGCTTGGGAGTCTCCTTTCTACACCAATATTCCTCCCCGGTCCGTGTCGAAGGCAGGAGATTTTGCGTCCGAGCCTCAGAACTTGTCGGCAATAATGAGTAGGAGCTCTTCCATGGTTGTCGCCGGCGGCAAGCAGCAGGAGATGGTAAGGTCTCGGAGCGCCCCCTTCAATTTGATAATTATAATAATATTTTATTTTATTTATTTATTTTATGGTAAAAAAGAGTTGGACTTTAAAATAAATTAATTTATTATTTTTAATTGCCACGTCACTAAGTTAACGGTCAACTTTGAGAGTTGACTGCCACATCAGCCAAAGTTAAGGGCGAGTGACCAAACGTGAACGATTTCAATAAACTGAAGGACCACCAATGGATTTAAATATTTTGAGTGACCAAACTTGAACGTTTTTTTGTAATCTCAGTGATCAACCATGCAATTAACCCGATAACTACCTAACTTGTAAGTAGACAATTTATGAGTATCGTGGAATACGATCTCGATCACCACTATACCACTTTTGTCTAACTAGGTTATACTTGTTCTAATCAGGATAGTAGGATAGAGTCCATTGAATCGCACCATATATAGATGGGAAAGGCTAATGATTGTTATCAAACAAAAGAAAAAGTAAATGAAAAAGATGAGAAAAATACATCACAAGTTGAATTCTCCGTCACTCTATTGGCTGCTAGCTACTCGGGCTTTGTAGTCTTTTGTACTTACCAAAACGCAGAAGAATATTAAAGAAATAAAAGAACATTCTCTGAATAGCCGTATTGAAGGTGCGGTGCACAAATGTTGAGAAGAAAAAGTGGGAAAATATTTTTCTAGAGGCAACAATGTATGCAGTTGTATTGATTTGATCATGTGCATGTTTACTGATTTGATAAGATCGTATGATTAAGAGTGTAATTAGATAAGATTATTATATTTGTTTGTCTGTACTTTTGTTTCATACTGGTAGAAGCCACTGAAACGGGGGAAACGATGCCGCATAACGTGCAAAGCTGCTGCCTCCCTCTCTGTGCAACGGGGAAAAAGAAAACAGACTCAAAGCAGCATAAAACGCGGCCTCTGGCAGAAAGGCAAAAGAAAGAAAGAAAGAAAAAGATCAACTACTACAGCTACAGCAGCAGCAGCAGCAGCAGCAGCTGAGCTGAGAGAGGAGTGCGAAGCAGCCCAAAAGAGTGAAAAAGTAACAAACAATTTCACTTTCTCTCTTCTCTTCTCATCTACTTCCACACTTTCCCTTCCCCTTGGAGCTTCACTCTTCCGCCTCTCCCTACTCAAACAAAGGTTTCTCTTCTTGCTCATCTCTTCTGCTGTTTTACTTTGATCAATGCAATTCCTCAAAGTTTTCACCTTGTTTATGCCGAAGTCTTCAATTCTCTTTTTTTACATCGCTGTGTTTTGTGTTTATCTGGGTTTCCTGTTTGGCAGATTGTGTTGGTGTTTTTCTTTTAAAGGTTGAGAATTTAGGGAAACAATGTCGAAGGGTTAAGAGATTTTCCCGAATGAGTTTAACAGATCAGTGCATAATAGCTCAAAAATACAGGGGAAAAAGTTCAATGCTCGTGCCTTGCCTTATTTGTTTGACGAGCGAGAGAAATACCATTATGTTTTCATGGGTGTTGAAGAGTTTTGATGTCTGTGCTGGGGCTGTATGGTGAGGAAAGAAAGTTCCCTAGGATCTTTATTTCTTTTCACCCTTTCTGTTTTTGGTTTGTACTCCTCTAATTTTATTCAAGGTTTTGCCCTCTACGTATGAGCATGAAAACGAGATGGAGGACGTAAAGAGCTCTAGTGCTTTTATTATTATCTTGGGCTAAAGTCTGGAAAAATGTTGTTGATAGTACATTCATTCATGGTCTGGGCTACCAATGCTGCCTGTAGTTCCATTCAGCTCGGCTGTTCACTGTTCCCTTAGTCTGGAAATTAATGGCGTGCCTGTGAGTAAAGTGGTTTTTTTTTATCATGACTGGTGCAGGGTTTCTCACTGAAATTGGAAGTGTGAGTACTTATGATCTGAATCCCAGTCGTCTTACATTGATTGTCCTGGGGAGTAGTGAAACTGTGCTGGTACTGTGGCTGCTCCAGCATAAGAGCAGTAGTGAATCATGTAAGAAATTGTGACCTAACAATGTTATTTATGTGGGTTGTGAATCTCTTTTTTGTTTATCATGTGGTGGAGTAACTGCATTCTTCATTCTGTCTTCCTTCCTCCAGATTGATTGATTGGATGGTTAACCTTTGGTTGATTTTGCAGCTATTACTTTACTGAATTCTTATTCAAGATATTGTTCCAAGATGAATGAGAACAGCCAAACCGAGCTGCATTACACCAATACAGGGTTTCCTTACGCCGCCACAGAAAGCTTTATGGGTTTCTTCCAAGTGCCAGTCAATTACACTCATACCGGACCACTTCATGATCATGTATGTTGCTTTTCTAATCCAACTTGCATTTATATAGGATAAATGTAGGGATTTACAATGAATGGCATGAAAAGAGTCCTTCGATTTTGTTGGCTACTAGTGACAATGGTCAAATTGCTGACTGTTGAATTCTAGGACCTCTATGTGCTTTCAAGACAATGTAGATGGGTGGAATCCATTTAGTTCTGTAGTATGGTTTGAGATGTTGCTAGATTTTCTACTGTCTTGCTCCTGAAGTGATGATTTGAGGCAATTTTCTAAGCTTTTATTTGCTTTGGTTACGTGTAGGACAATTCATATTGGTCGTTGAATATGAATGCGTATAAATATGGATTTTCTTCTGGTCCAGAGAGCACTTCTTATTACGACCATTATGAGGTGAATGCGAATTCACCAACAATGGATGTTACCAGGAGAGCTTGGGAGTACCCTTCTGTGGCAAATGCCCAAGAGCCCACAACACAAGTGCATTCCGAAGAAGAAACAACGGTCACAGATGTGAACACTATACCTGAAGACTGTGAGTCCAATGATGATATATCTCCTATCCTAAGTTGATTCCGAAGAAGAAACAAGTGTCTGTAGTGTATCTTTTTTTCTGGCCTGGATGGACATAGAAGCACTTTAGATTTATGGTATAAGAATGAAGGGTCTGTTTTTATAGGGAAAGTAAGGGCAATGTGATTACCAATGGCTGAAAAGGCTGAAGCTGATTTTGAAATAGCTTTAATGCTATCTGAAACTCATTGTCTCCTGATCAAGAGTATTTATGGTGTTGCCTGTTGAAGGGTGATCATGAGACTTACCGCCTCTCCTGTTTGGCTCTCTCCTTTTGTAGGCATATCAGATAATCCAGGAAGTACTAGTCCCCAGGTAAGAAAGAAGCTCTCTTGCCTATCTTGTTCTTTGAGATTTTCTAATCAATGATTTTATATCTCAGTTGCTCACGTCACAATCTAGAACTGAATGATTCTCTCCTCCTCACAATCCAATGAAAAGGATAGTTGCCAACATTCAGTTTACGCTGCTTGTTTTTTTGGCAGGGCCTCTGGCAGGATGATATTGATCCGGATAACATGACCTACGAGGTTTGCTTTTATACCCCTATCGCAATTATTACTCATAATAATGGTACAAACTCGAAAGGTCCATTGTAGTTGAATTCATCGTAATCCTTGGCATGAAACAGCCCTGTTCTATTTGCTTGTTGAGGCTTATGGATAAGGTGTGTTGCAGGAACTACTTGACCTAGGTGAGGCAGTAGGAACTGAAAGTAGAGGTCTTTCCCAGGAACTCATCAGCATGTTGCCAACATCAAAATGCAAGTTTGGGAGTTTCTTCTCGAGGAAAAAGTCCGGAGAGAGGTGAGTTTGCTGCCAAATCTTCTTCCCTCCATTGGAACTTTTGGCCTCATTTCTTGCTGAGAGTTGATTATTTGATTACCTCTACCAGGCTGTCACTATAGAGTTGATTATTTGTTTCATGCTATTTAGTTGCATTATTGTGTCCCTCAGAATCTTCTGTATCAATGTGGATTGCCTTTATCTTTTGGTGGCGTTGAAGCAGATGCGTGATATGCCAGATGAGATACAAACGAGGGGAGAAGCAGATAAAACTGCCTTGCAAACACATTTACCATTCTGAATGCATCCGCAAATGGCTTGGGATCAGCAAGGTCAAAGTTCACATTCACTACTATGTTGTACCTGGCCTTTCTGATTGATTATCTCCACCTCTGTGACATTCTGTAATATGATCTTGTAACCTGTTTCTTCAGGTCTGTCCCGTATGCAACAATGAAGTCTTCGGCGAAGAACCGAGTTAGTAGAACATCACATCATTCAAAACCAAACCCCTGTGGAACTCAGGCTGCCTTGGTCTTTCATCAATCCTCTTTTTGTTAGGTTCTCTCCTTTCCTTTTTTGGGGGTTCAGTTTTTTGGATGTCTTGGTTTTGTTTTTCCACACGTAGGGTTGTTTAGTGAAGAGGGTTTAGTAAAGGGCGATGTTCTCTTTCTTTCCCCTATATAGGAAGTCCTTTTTGGGCAAAGGCAGTAGGCTCCCTTGTTAATGTGAGGTAGAGGACTGGAGGAGTTATTAAGCCAGGTACGGAAGAGGCAGCAAAAAGCCAAAACGAGAAGAAATGTGGAGAATCAGAAAGAGCGGTCATTTGTGTACTTAACCCTGATCAAGTACGAATTTTTGCAGAAGTATAATATATTTAATTAAAGCTTGTCAGTCACTCTGTTATGTTGCTGCTGCTGGAGCTGAGCTGGTTGGTACTTCTCTCTTGTAAATGGGAGCTGAGCTGGTTGGTACTTCTCTCTTGTAAATGGAATATGTAGGGAGTTTATTTTTTTCTTTCTTTTTTTAGGGTTAATATATTTGTTTGGAAGATTTGGCGAAAAGATTCGGAAAAAATCCAAAAGTATTTAAAAAAAATTTCAAAAATACCACCCAACCCCAAAAAATTCCAAAAATACCATCTTTTTTCAAAAACCGCCACCCCACCTTGCGGTTTCCACGAAAACCGCTGGGCGGGGTCACAGTTTTCTATGCAAACCGCTAGGCTAAGAGGCGGTTATAAAAGCCGCTGGGTGGGGCGGCGGTTTTGGGCCAAACAGCCACCCCATCCAGCGGTTTGGTCCAAATTTTTTTTTCTCGATCAACTCCTAACTTCGGCCGAAACTTCAAACGAACGTAACTTTGCACTCGTGTATCCGATCGTAGCGATTTTTATTTTCATTTCGCATAACTTTTCAAGATTTACAACTTTTACTAGGATGAAATTTTCAAAACAAGAATTAGTTGTGGATATACGGGACCTTGGGAATAACTTTACTTTTCACAAATCCATGTACATTTCGAAATTATGATTATCTTAAAAGTTGTAGATCTTGAAAAGTTATGCGGAATAAAAAAAAAGTTCATGACGTTCGGATTTTGGAGCACAAAGTTATGACCGCCCAAAGTTTGACGAAATAAAAAAAGGCTCGTTCGGGGTAGCAAATGACGTTTTTTCGAGACGAAGGCGGGACCAAACCGCCTACGGCCATTTGCGGCTTGCAAGATCTCGAAAAGTTATTCGGATTAAAAAAAAAATAAAAATCGCTACGATCGGATACCCGAGTGCAAAGTTACGTTCGTTTGAAGTTTCGGCCGAAGTTAGGAGTTGATCGGGAAAAAAAATTTGGACCGCTGGGTGGGGCGGCGGTTATAACCGCCCCTTAGCCCAGCGGTTTGCATAGAAAACCGCGCCCCCGCCCAGCGATTTTCGCGTAAACCGCAGGGTGGGGTGGCGGTTTTTGAAAAAAGGTGGTATTTTTGGAATTTTTTGAGGTTAGGTGGTATTTTTGGAATTCTTTTTTTAAACAGTGGTGTTTCTGGAAAAAGTCCAAAAGATTCTCTCTCTTCTCTATGATTTACAATCCAAAGCTAAATGAGCTCGTCAAAGCTCTTTGATCAGGAATGGTTTCGATTGCAGAAGCTGCTACATCAAGCTCTTGACTGACGGTACGGAGAGGCTCGGAGGTGTGCAATGCCGACAGAGGTGACTACAGGCGCGACAGCCATGAAGGAGGTTGTGGACGACTGTATGGTAGTGGTAAAGGGAGCTCACTTTGACGACGCCGCTGCCACCCCAAAATCATCACCGCCGAGCAGCCAACCACTAACGACAAGGCCATGTCTTCGGCTAAAAGTAGACCTGGCAATCGGGTCGGGTTGGATAATTTTGGGTTAAAGTATCAGGTTACGGGTCGAGTCATTCTGGCTTGGCCTATTTCGGGTTAAATATTGACACAACTCATTCGATTTATGGTCGGGTTACGGTCCTTTCGGGTTATAAGCGGTCTCAGAAACATTATCAAACATGCTTCATATTTTTTTAAAGAACACAAATCTTCACATATGAATGACAATAGTTTACCTAACACATGTCAATTAACATATTATCAAATCTTCCCATGCTATTGAAATGCAATACAAATTGCACAAATCGTCAAAAAACAATCACAAAAGTAATACTACTATAAGAAACACATGATATTTGATTATCTTTAAACTCCAAACATGTCTTTCAAATCCTTGTTAATTTTTGTAAACATCTCACCAATTTATGAATGATTTTATCATTTTGGGAGTTACATATGAAATGGAACGGGTCTAATGGGTATACCCACTAACCCACCCAACCAGATCCAAAAAATCACGGGTTATCGGGTTTGGGTCATTCGGATTTCGGGTCAGTAAAAACTTATATTTTTCGGACGGGTTCGGGTCGGGTCAATGGGTCAGGTAATTTTCCAGGTCTAGCTAAAAGCAGATCGCAATCATCACCAACAGTGGCTGCCATTCTAAACTCGGTAGAAGTGGTCGCGGTGTGCGTTGAGGAGAATGAATCACATCTAAAATTAAAGGACACCTCCTCACAAGTGAATTCCCAAGAACCTGAAGCTTCAATTGGAGATTTACTGGTGAAGAGTGGCAGAGCTAACTGGAAGTTTAGGACAAAGAATCTAAGGCCCTGTTTACTTTCATTTCTGTTTCCTGTTTTTGAGAAAACAGATGTTGAAAACAGGTGAAAACGACATTTTTTCGTTTTCGAAAACAGTAGGAAGCTGCCACTTTCTGTTTTCAGAGTTGGAAATGAATAGAAAACAGAATGAAGAGTAAACATGTTTTCTCGTTTCGTTTCCCAAATTTGTAACATGAAAACAGAAAACAGGAAACGAAAATGGAAGTGAACAGGGCCTAAGGGACGGATGGTGGCCTTGATTCCAAATGAAAGAAAATTGGGAGAAGGCAGCGGAGACGGGAACTCAATCGCTGGTGGTTTGGGCTCCGGTTGGTCCAGAAGCGAGCTGGGCGCGCCACCGCCGAATGAATTGCTTGCTGCCAGATGAGAAGAGGGAATGGAGCTCCCACCCTAGCGCCGAGTGCAGAGCAGTGCGCCACCGGAGAAGAAGAAGGCAGTGAGGACGAGGCGAGAGTTGTGTGAGGCCGCTACAAAGCGGACTGCTGCTTGCTTGGGGAACTGTTCGACGCCGATTACGGAAGATCAGGAGGACAAAGGGAAAAAGAACAAGGCGGCGGTCACCGACATGCGATTGGCGGAGATCCGCCTCGACAGCAACCCACGATGCAAGCAGGTGGCGTTGAGCTCGGTCCCTAGATGACATACGATTGTGCCGCCGACGAAGAAGAAGAAGAAGACGACGATAGTCGTCAGAGAGGTTTTGCGCGACGTCGAGGCAATCTAGTTATGCTCCTAACAGGTTATTTTGTTAGGAGATACTGACATGGCTGGATGGGCCTCCACGTCGCCAAGCCGCCATCCATCGGTGGAGGAGAAACGCGCTGGCCCGTGTGAGAGATGAGAGCCGATTCCATCGGCTGGGCCAAGCCCACTCCGGCTGGCGGGGCCCGCCGGGCCCACTAATTCAAAAACCCGGTCAAAAAAATATCCTAAACCCTAACCCAAATCACTTTCCCCAAATCAGTTTCCCCCCTCTCTCTCCCCCCGTTTCTCTCTCCCTTTCCTCTGCCTTTCTTCCTCTCCCGAACGCAGACGTCGCGACCCGCGGTGATTGGAACTCGGCGGCGTCGAATTAGGCGGCAGCAAAGTCTGGCGGCGGCGACGATCTAGGCGGCGGCGGCGACCTTGCAGCGAAGGAGGAGATCTCGGCGGCGCGACCTTGCTGCGAATCGGAGATATCGGCGGCGACGTCTTGCAGCGAAGGCGGAGTTCTCGGCGGCGGCGGCGGCGAAGCAGCGAAGTCGGAGATCTCGACGGCGGCGACCTTGCACTAACTCGGAGATCTCGGCGGCGACGACTCTGCAGCAAACTCGGCGGCAGCAATCTCGGCGGCATCGATCTTGTCGGCGGCGACGAAGCAGCGATCTCGGCGGCGGCGGTTTGCAGGTGACTCGGGTTCTTGATCAAGTAAGTTTTTAAGCATAGTTTGGTGGATATTAGTTTTCGATTGGACAGCTTTGAGTTAGGGTTGCATGGTTGCGTTCTTCTGTGGATTTTGTTTCTGGGTTTTGTGGAATGGCTTCTGTTTGTGTCGATATTTAGTTCTGTTTGTGTCGATATCAGTTCGGTTTGTGCCGATATTAGTTTTGTTCGTGTCGATATTTGTTCGGTTTGTGTCGATATCAGTTCGGTTTGTGCCGATATTAGTTTTGTTCGTGTCGATATTAGTTCGGTTTGTGCCGATATTAGTTCTGTTTCTATTGATATTGGTTTTGTTCGAGCATGATATTAGTTTTCACTTTCCTGGATAGTTGTTTTATTGGATCTGGGTATTTGTCTTTGCAGGTGATTTATCTATGACAAAGACTAAAACGAGCGGGAAAAGAGCGTCACCGACTTCACCCCCTCCACCACCACCACCGCGACAACGAGAGGAAGATGAGGAAGAAGAAAATGCTGAATCCGAAGCAGAAGGAGCTGCACAACAAGATGATGAAGTCGAAGCAGAAACAGCTGCACAAGGAGCAGCTCGAGGTCGGAAAAATCGGAGGTATAGATTTCGGACATTATATACTTTATTTTGCTTGGATTGTTTCTTTGATATATATATCTGGATATTGGTTTTGACAAGCATGATATCAGTTGTTACTTGCCTGGATTGTTGTTTTAAATATCTGGATATTTGTTTGACATACAGGGATATTTGTTTGATTTATCTGGATTTTTGTTTGGCATATCTGGATATTTGTTTGATTTATCTGGATATTCGTTTGATTTATATTATTTATTTTGCTTGGATTGTTTCTTTGATATATATATCTGGATATTGGTTTTGACAAGCATGATATAAGTTGTTACTTGCCTGGATAGTTGTTTTAAATATCTGGATATTTGTTTGACATACCGGGATACTTGTTTGATTTATCTGGATATTTGTTTGGCATATCTGGATATTTGTTTTGATTTATCTGGATATTCGTTTAATTTATCTAGATATTTGTTTGATATATCTGTATATTTGTTTATGCATCGATTTATCAATGGCCAGAAATCCGCGAACCACGAAGAGAGCGCGACGTAATCCACCGCCATTGCGAGAGGAGGATGAGGAAGAAGATGCTGAAGTTGCTGCACGAGTAGCTGCACCAAGAAATAATATTCTAGGCCAAGGCAAGCCGTGGTACAGATTTCGGTGCCATACCAAATCTGGGCTAGATGTTATTAATTACTGGAAGGAAGAGCCAAGGTACTATGAAGCATGCAAAAAAGAGTTGGAGAAGGCTGGATTTGGAGGGTTATTGGAGCTTCGATTGTCAAATTTTCCTAGGAAGTTGTTCGATACCTTGATGGCACATTACGATTTGGTCACCAGTTCATTCATTTTCGGTGAAGGGGAGAACAAGAAGGTGCTTACAATTGAAGCTGAGGATGTTGCCCGTGTTTATGGCCTTCCTATTGGTGGAGCTGAGATTGATGTCGTTAGGTCTAACGACAAGATGCTTGATATGTTCATGGAGGAGCTCAACATCGAGTGTAATCGAAGTCGAAATGTCGAAGTCATGCATCTTAGAGAGGCAGCTTGTGGTGGTCCAGATGATGCACCGAACAGGAGACCACCTGTTGCAGCCGCAGTGAAGCAGTTTTTGTTGCTGGCTATGGGTTCGATGCTCGTCCCAAAGATGTCACGACTTTGTGATCTCGATTATGCTGAGTACCTTGTTGGAAGGGTGGAAGACATTGCCACTTTCAATTGGAGTGGTTTTGTTGCCCGCAATATGAAGTTTGAGTTGTCTCGTGCCAAGGAAAACGAAGCTGAAGCTAGGGCTAATGGTAGCCAGCAATGGCCTCTCAGAGATATCCACTTCTTAATGGTAATTTCTCCTTTAACATTGTTGATTTTGTTTATTTGATGTGCTTAGGATATTAGTTCTTTTTATTTCTGATATATGTTTTCTTTGCCTTTGATATTAGTATCGTTGCTTAGGATGTTAGTTCTTTTTATCTCTGATATATGTTTTCTTTGCCACTGATATTATTATCGTTGCTTAGGATGTTAGTTCTTTTCATCTCTGATATATGTTTTCTGTGCCATTGATATTAGTATCGTTGCTTAGGATGTTAGTTCTTCTTATCTCTGATATATGTTTTCTGTGCCATTGATATTAGTATCGTTGCTTAGGATATTATTTCTTTTCATTCGTGATATTAATAACCATGCATGGGATAATCGTTGTTTTCATTTATGATATTTGTTTTGAACTTTTTTTTTGTAGATCCATTTGCTGGACCTGTGCAAGTGCATATGCTCGGTAGAGTGCAAACCATGACTGTGGGCTTCGACGAATTCATACACCACAAATCCCTCCCTAGCAGCATCCCATCCAAAGCGAACACGGGCGGGACATCCATCCCTAACTCGAGGCCTCTTTCTTTTGCAAACCATTCTCTCCTCAACCTTGTCTTCCGACTGTATCTAATTATCCATATTGACTTTGCTTGTGGAAGTCCAGCCTTCCTTATTACAAAAGTAATAAAGGTATGCATAATTTTTCTCCACCACTCCTTTAGAATTCTTGATCTTTCTTATGTGTTCCCCATCTATTCGAACACCAAACCCTTTTTTGTGAGCGTAGCGCTTATAGAAATCAAAACACTCATCCTTAGTGCGATAAAAGATGTTCTTCCTCGCTTCCTCGTCTTCTAGATCCAACGTCTTATGAGCTGCGAGTTAATGGTATGAGGCATGTTATTATCCATTCTTGACCACAAACTGTAAGAATACATAGGCTTCAACAAATATCCAGAATTCAAATAAATAATATCTATAACTACCAGATTAGTATCAAACAATGCATTAAATAGTGGGTCACACACCAAATATCATGTTTCGTTACAGCCCAGACAAATATCATGTTTCGTTAAACAAATATCGGCAAGCAGATATACAAATATCAGTACAGCCCAGACAAATATCATGTTTCATTAAACAAATATCGGCAAGCAATATAAAAATATCCTTCCAGCCCAGACAAATACCATGTTTAGTTAAACACATATCTGCAAAGAAACAGACAAATATCCGAAAGATCCAGACAGATATGTCATTCTCACAACAATTTCAACATCAAAAACCCATAACAACATCAACATCATTCAATGCTATTCTCACAACAATCTCAACATCAAATATTCAATGCAACCAACCAATCTCACAACAACACAAACATATAAAGAACTCAATCAACCTTTATCTTCTTCTTCTTCTTCTTCGTTGAGGGCAGGAGCACCACTTGAATCTTCATCAACAAACTCATATGATGTAGGATAGAGTTCTTCTTCTTCACTATGATGTAGGATCGATTTACCCTTCTTCATTGGAGAAGATCCTTGATCATCCAACTCCCCATTGTCGTCGATCGGCATAGTAGAAGGTCGCCGGAAAGGAAAGATGGTCGCCGGAAAAGAAGATGGTCGCCGGAAAATACTGTTGGGCGGCGGCTTTCTTCCTTTGGAAGAGAAGAAAAACAGAGAAAATTTGAAGAGAGAGAGGCAATTTTCGGGTTTGGGTGGGTAGGGTAGTTGGGAGCATTAAATTCCTCCATTTTCTTTGAATTTCCTATTTTTGATTTTTGTTTCCCCAAATAAATGACCCACTTGGGCCCCTTCTTTCCATTTCTCCCCCCTTGCCACCTAAACCCTACTAAGCCGCCACCATCAGCTCCATCTTTCATCTCAGCTGGGCTAAAAAACCCACAAAACTCCACTGGGCCGTGTCAGTATCTCCACAAATATCCAAACAACACAGAGAAATATCCAAACGACACAGACAAATATCCAAGAAAGACAAATATCCAAGAGAAGGATCATCCCAACCTCGTCGTGGCATGATCGAAACGTGGCATGATCGAAACATGAGAAAGAAGATAATCGAGAATTTGCACAAGCAAGACAACATTTGAACTATTCCTTTTCTATTTTTTTATGTAGTTATACTTTTTTAGATTTTAGATTATGGGATTGCCAAGTTGGAATGACAATAAATACTAGTTGTATCGCAGTTTATCGAAAAACGACTTTGTTTTATTATGAATTTGCTTAAACTAAATATCAACACAAACAAACATAGATAAACATCCACAAAAAAAACAAATGCAAACCACCCAGAATAATATCCGTTCACCATAAACAAAATCCAGAACACCCAGACTAATATCCCACCGCCTAATACCAATATCGAGTCAGCCCGTAATCAATATCTTGACCATACAGACTAATACCCACCACACAGAGATTAATATATGGATGTCTTAGCCTAATATCCGGCTACACAGCAAAAATATCAACACATCATGAACTAATATCCTCCAATCACATAATAATATCTTATCACCACACACTAAAATTGATCACCCTACATTGTGTTCAAAATCATTTCCACAATATTGTCTTCTAAACCCGAAACCAAAACTCAAACCCTATACCTGAAACCCTAATCGTAGACACTAAACACAAAGCTTGAACCCTGAACCCTTAACTCTAAACCTCAACCCCAAAGTCAAATCCTAAATCATAAACTCCAAACCCTAATTCTAAACCCTAAAGTCAAAACCCTAACACTAAACCCTAAATTGATGTAATCATATACAAATCAGTAGATAAACATCCACACAGAACAAATATCCAAACTACCCAGACTATTATCTCACCTTAGCAAACTAATACCCACCATACACATATTAATATCTATCCATCACATACTAATACCCACCTCACACAGATTAATATCTGACCATCGCAGACTAATACCAACTACACATAAACTCTAAACCCTAATCGCTAAACACTAAATCCTTAACCCTAAATCCTAACCGCTAAACCGTAAATTGGTGTAATATGGTTGGCTAAGTGTGTGATGCTAGATGCTAAAATAAACAAAGGATCACATCTGAATAGTTACCAGAAGTGCCCCAATATCCGTACTACATAAAAAAATTTCCACATCACCCAGACTAATATTCATTCCTACCATAAAAAATATCTGCAACACCCAGACTAATATTCGTTTTGCCCATAATAAATATCCTCACCAACCCTAACTAATATCCATCGGTTACAAACTAATATCCTGCTACTTAGCCAAAATATCCACACATCGCCAACTAATATCCTCCGATCACATAATAATATTTTATCACCACAGACAAAAATCGACTACCCTACATTGTGTTCAAAACCATTTTCACAATATTGCCTTCTAAACCCGAAACCCTAATCGCTAAAAACTAAATCCTTAACCCTATTAGAATATCCAAAAGTCCAAGAAAATTTCGAAAACATGAACTAATATCAACTCAAACCTAAGCTATACCCTAAACCCTTAACATAAAACCGTAACACAAACTCTAAACCATAAAACTATTATTATTTAATGGGCCTTCGGCCCATGGGCCCTCGGCGGGCAGCCCTAACTAAGGTTGCAAGCCTTACGTGTTAGGACTTCCTAGTGTGTTTAATTTCCTAGTGTGTTTAATTTGATGTAAGAAACAATATTCCAATCCTTCACAATGATTCAAAGTAATATCAACATAACACATAATAATATCCACTGAAAACAAATAAATATCCAAACAAACATACATATATATCACATGGGGCCCAAAAATTTCATTCTCTTTCCACTCCAACCCAAAACTGGCGCCCAAACTGAAGCCGGGCCCACCACGCTTTCCACTCCAAACCAAAATCCCGCCCAAACTGATCCCTGGCCCACCAGCCACGAACTCGGCTCGCCTTCTGCGCCGCACGCTGGGCCGGCTTCTACACGGAAGCCCATCTCCAGCTCATTTAAGTGAGCCACCACTCTCCTCCATTGGATGAAGCCCAAGCACACGTGGCCCAAAATCTGACCCTATCAGTATCTCCTAACATAATGGCCTGTTAGGAGACTAACTTTTTCGACGTCGAGGCGAAGGAAGAGGGCGCGCTAAAGGCCGATATGACGAAGGACTCGAGATTGGCGGCGACCTCCATGGCGTGGTTGATAGACAATGATGCGCCCTCGAAGACTACTCGGGGAACAAGCAAGATTTCTCGCCAGAGGATCTTTTCACCGCCGAGGAAGTCGGAGATAGGCGGGACGAAGAAGAAGAGTGGTGGCGACTGCCGAGGAGACGAAGCCGGGCTTGTCTCTGGCCATCGGAAGAAGTGTTCGCCGCCGAAGATGGAGGCCCTGGTAAAGAAGGAAGATGATGGCGGTTACCTCCCCCTCACAATACCTAGGGCAATAGCTTTGTACCACCCATCAAAGCAGCCATCGTTGGGCCGAGTGGCGATTTGTGCCACACTTCTGCGTGGGCCGAATGGTTGTTCGTGTCGACCAATGTTCGGGCCAGAATAGCTGGGAATGGGCAAGCCAAAATGAAAAGGTAAGTCTGAGCCCATGGAGAGCAGGCCTGCTTAGAAGAAACTGATTGGTTTCACTGGGTTTAATTAGTCAGAGCGAGCCGAGGAACAAGTAGCGTACGGGCCGAGACTAAGGAATTGGGCCACTTCAGGAAGTGTTTAAGCCCAATATGGCTTGTAATTTGAAGAAGGCAAGCATGAATGGAGCTCTTATGAATGTGGATGGGCTTTCAAAGGAGCTAGGCCCAATCAAGTTGGAAGACAAATGGAGTACAAAAGGGCTTAACCTTAGGCTGGGCCACATCTCTTCCTTCCAAACATTTGAGGGCCAAGTCAAAGATGAATCAAGAGGAGGTCGAGAAAAGCTAGATCTTGTTGAGGAATTTATGGAGCATTCCCTTTAAGATTACAAGTTGGTTAGTGATAAGGAGCTCCAAGAAGAACAATTCTCCAACTCTTATTTCGTAGATTTTGAAAAGGAGGAGGAAGAATTGTTTGGCTATGGAAAAAGTGACATGGGAGAGAAGTCAAGAGACATTGAAGTTGTTGGAGAAGAATTCAAACGTGGAATTGAACACAACTGGACGCGAAGAAAGCGGAAGGACGGGAAAGCAAAAGTTGACTGCAACTTTGAAGACAAGGTTGGTCTCAAGAGGGAGGGAACGATAGAAACCGAATTTTTGTATTTTATCATAATTATCATTAATAGTATTTATTAGGATATTAATAGATATGACTATTAGTCTTTGTGTCATATTATGATAGTCTTTGAGTCTATTAGATATGACTACTAGTCTTTGAGTCTATTAGATTTTTCCAGTCTTTAGCTACAAATATGTAATTTGCGTCTTTGGTTCGATTAAGCAGAATTTAATAAAAAAAATTATCTTCCCAAACCCTCAACTCTATCTCCTAATATCTCTTCTTCCCTAATCCATGGCTTCGGCCAATTCTTATTCTTTTCTTCTTCTTTCCCAAATTCTCAATCTCAATTTCCAATTCCATCTCTAAATCCCTAAATCCCAAATCACCCAACACTACCGATAGAACCCTAGAATTACGTTTCTATCATGGGCGAATTACTTAGTGGGTCAATTTGTGGGATGATTACCAGCTATAGGGGTGTTGCGCTCTTGAGCGAACTGGATTTGGGGCAGGGAGGGGGAGATTCAGGTCTTGGAATTTGGTGATCGACTCTTAATCTTTTAGTTTCCGTCATTGGATACTTGTAATTGAGTATTTGAGGGAAGACCATGGCATTTACAGGAGGTGATGATCTGTTTGCGGAGATGGGAACTAGGAATCCAGCCGATCAAATTGACAACTCTGTGGTGCCAATTTGGGTCCGTCTCTTTGGATTACAAGATGAGCTACAATCAAAAGAGGGTTTGGGTCGTATTTCCAGCGTGTTAGGTAAACCTCTCTGTACGGATTTACGTACTCGCAAGAGGGAGAAAGTGAGATATGCTAAGGTGTGTGTTGAGTTAATTGTGGATTCCCCACTTGTTGAACATATTAGTTTTACACCCAATGTGTTTCCTGAAATGTTTGTGGATGTAAGTTACTGATGCTGAAATAAAAGTGCTTTGTTTGAGATGGACCCACCAAATCACAGTGTCCAGATGACTGGATTGTGAATTTCTATAAGAAGACCCGGGGGATAGTTAGTGATTTAGTGACTGCTGGGGTTAAGGAGTTTTTCACTAAGGGGCGGATACCAAAAGGTATGAACTCTACTTCAATAACTCTCTGCCCCTAAAGTCCAAATGCAATGTCGCCGATTTCTTTTAGGCCCATTGTTTGGATAAATGTGTTGTAGAAGATTGTGCCTAAGGTGCTATCTAATAGGCTGAAAGCTGTTTTGCCTCAATTGATTAGTTTGAATCTATTAGCTTTCATTAAAGGGAGAATCATCCTAGATAACATAATTATGGCTCAGGAACTAAAGTAAAATTATCATAAAAAGGGTCTTGCATCACGTAGTGAAATAAAGGTTGATATGAAAAATACATTTGATTATGTTTCATGGGAGTTTCTCTTCTGTGTGATGGAATGTATGCACTTACGTCAAGAATTTATTGGATGGATTAAGCTATGTATTTCCTCTACTATGCAGGCACATTGTATCTACAAGCACAACACATTTCCTCTGCTATGAATTTGACTAGGAAAGATTACCATTTCGATATCTTGGTTTACCACTATCTGCTGGGAAGCTATTGACCAAGGAATGTGTTGTGCTTGTAGATAATATCACTAGTCAAATTAGGTCTCGGAAAGCTTCAAAACTCTGCTATGCAGGCTAGATACAATTAGTCTCTTATGTCCTTTATTCGCTTGTGCAGTTCTGGATGACAATCTTTATTTTCCCAAAGAAATTCATAGCACATATACAAAAGTTTTGCTAAGATTTTTTTATGGTATGGTGAAGGCTCGGGGAAGGCCAAGGTTGCTTGGCACCTGATTGCTGCCGAAAAAGGAAGGGGGACTTGGCTTGAAGGATCTGGAGACATGGAATGTTGCAAATGCAACTTAACTTATTTGGCTAATCCTAATGTAGGGGGGAGGTTTTGAGTTACTTGGGTATCTCAGTATCGACTTAATGTCATATCATTATGGGAGCTCATAAGCAATTCCACCGGTTCATGGGTATGCAAAAAATGGTTAAAGTTCGAGGTTGGTTTCAATTTTGCTACACATCTAATGGGGCAGGGGATGTTTGCTGGGAGGGGGAATAAATGGCTTGATTCTCAATCAAAATGCTCTGGCAATCCATCCAAGTGAAGAACTCTTCTATTCCTTGGTAGCAGGTGTTGTGGGGAAAGCATACTATACCACTATACAGGTTCCTTACATTGCTCATTATATTAGATAGAATAAAGACAAAGGATAAGCTATTTGATTTGGGTTTTATCTCTACTTGTCTGTGTGTTTTCTTCAGCTGTGCTAGGGAGACTAGAGATCACCTATTTTTGTCTTGTCCTTACTCAACAGAAGTTCTAAAATGGGTGTTTGAGCACTTGCACAACTGGCTAAACTCTTGGCAAGGCTGTCTCGACATAGTTTGTTCTATTGCAGTTAAAGACCATACATGCATATCATATTCATCGTTATGGTGTTGGAAGGTTGGTTTTATTTGGAGGGAATGTTGTCTCCATGTGTTTGGGGCAATTGGTCATAGTAGTATGCAGCTGGTTGATAACCTGAAGGAGGAAGTACGTGTGTATTATTTTAGTAAGACAAAATTTGAGCACCTAGTGAGGCTGTCTGGATAGTCTTTGTTTAAGTAGTTTTCTCGCGTTGGGTATGTTGTGAGTGTTTGGGGATTCCCCTTTTAGATTTTTGATTTACAGACTTGGTAATTTTTTTCGAGATTTGGTCATGTTGACCAAAAGGAGCTATAAAATGTTTGCCTAATTACCAAAAAAAGTGTTTGTTTGGCCCGAACTTTACACGAAATTACTATCCAGACCATTATTATTAAATGTCTATCCTAGTTTGAATTATTATTGTAAATGATTGATTTGGTCTGATATGAGTGTTGATCATTAAGTTGAGTTCAAATTATTCATTTATGATAATATTTTAGGCCTTGTTAAGTATTTTCGATAATAATGGTTAGAATAGTACTTTCATGAAAAGTTCGGGCAAAACAAATATATTTATCCTTCTTTTTATCTACCTCTCCTCACTAGTTTGGACTCAGACCATTGATCGGAATATTTAATTTTATTGTTTGATAAGTGACGATCAATGCATACTTGTGTTATACATATGCTTATTTTTTTTACCCACCATATAATTCATATAGTGAGAATTTCCCTCGAATTTCTATAATTGTAACATGGAACTCTCCAATTATGGAGTCCTAGTCCTTAACCTAATATGATAATTTTATTTTAGTAAAATACAGTAAAAGGTTGAGACACAAAGAGATTAACTAGGAAAATGTATTTCTTAAGGACTTTGCTACAGCGACTTATGAGTTACCCTAACTTAGAGAAAACAGTTTACTGCTTCTACCAAGTGCTCGACGCTTACAACAATTGGTCGATCTGATGAACCAGTACTAGTGAAATCAACATAATTAACTAGAGACATCGAATTAATAGATATGCTTGATGGTAAGAGAGTTGAAGTTACTACAAAGGTTGAAGCATAGTTATCTTGTGATAAAGGAGCTTTGTTGACATTGTTAGTATGAAGATTCTTAAAAAGTAGGCATAATTGTCATACACTATCTTCAACGTCAATAAATCTCCTATCATCTTGCTTTGTGGGTTCTTATTTCAAAAGTGCTAAAAGAGAGTGTTATTTCTTATTGTCTAGGTCTATTAACATCGCCTTAGTCACCTTGAGCGAGGAGTGCACTTCCAGGGAGTTTAACTATTCCCTTATGCATAGGTGCATTTCATATAAAGAAACCCGTGACGGATCTAGGAGCAAGCATTAATGTCATGAGCCTTTCTAACTTTATCAAAAGTTAGACCTATGTGAATTAAAGGCCATTAAGTTGAGTGTGACATTAGCCGATATGTTTGTGGTTTACCCAAAAGGCATTGTGGAGGTTGTTCTAGTGTGGGTGGGCAAATTCTACTATCCGATTACTTTCGTTATCTTGGATATAAATAAGGATTTAGATGTGACCCTCATCCTAAGACGCCCATTCTGAGATGATCCTAATTAACCCTTAAACAAGGTTGAATTTCTTGCCAAAGGATCCATTCATGTTGGAAAGAAAAGGGGAAGAATTTGGCTAAGCGTTCAACCCGTATCATGGTGCTTACTATGGAGGTTCATATCGTACAATTTAATCAATGGAAATGCAAGAGGAATGTTGGGAATTGAAGAACAAGAGTTTTTTTTATGACTTCGAAGGATTGGTTTCTAAATTACAAGTCTTTAATTGCAAGAACAAGAGGGTCCAAGTTGCTATGAAGAAACTGGGAAATTGCCTGATTTTGGCCAAGTCTGAGAATAGTTTGAGCTGCCTACTTTGAGGGCTTATTCGAGACGACTGGGGTACATTCGAATGAAGCTGGGAGTTGGAGGTTGAAGCTAGAGACTTGAAGAAGAAACGAATGAAGCCCGATTGGCTCGAAGCTCCTTAGGAAGCTTTGACAAGAGCATCAAAATAGCTACGGAGGCTGAGTTCCATTATTTGCATAGTAAGGCAACAACTTGTGTGTTAAGCAACCGAGCATTCATTCCTTTCCTAGTTTGGATTTTGATTTCCTTGTTAGAGATTGACCCTATATTTGAATCCTTGTTAGATTAGAAGTTTAATTCTTTGTTGTTTGCTATATAAAGGCTTAAAGCCTCGATGTAAAAGTTAGTTTTTGAATTGAAGAAACATGACTTTGTCACCAAACCCTTTGTTGTTGGTTGTGTTCCAGCTTCAATTTGTGCTTCGTATCGATTGGAAACCAAATCAATCATGGCCGAGGTTAGACCAAATCCAATCGAGCCTCTTTCCTAGTGTGAAGTTGCACCTTTGGTTTATTCTCGTTTTCAATTTCCCAAGTTCAATCTAGTTCTGTTCAATTGAACCTCAATTGCGTGACTCTGATAATCATAAGCTAGGATTTAGCTTGCATCAAGTGGCATCACTATACTGGTTCAAACACAGTGTCGTAAGACAAAGCTCGAGGACCTGTTTCCTCGAGAACCCGATCGAAGGATTTAACTGACCAGCGCAAACCAGAGGAAGACTTCGACTTCGACGAATAGAATCAGAGGCTGAGGCTGCAATGGTGGGTCAATTTAACACTACCGAGTTCTTACAGACCATCACCTTGCAAATAGGAGCAGTATTCCAAGCCCTGTTCGACAAGATCGAACGAAAATTGGAGCAACAAGGCCAAAGACTCGAGGCCCTGTCTCCGACAGCAACACAGGGGAATCCCCAAACTCAGGCAGAGGACCATGATTACGAAGATTCCAACGCTACCAATCGTGAGTTAATGGCGCGAATTGAGGAGCTCGAGCAATAGTTAGTGGTGGCTGATCCTGAACAAGGACTACATCATCATGAACATCGAGATCATCGAGGGAGAAAATGTGAAACGGAGTCGGCAATTCCGCCAAGAATTAAGCTTGCCATCCCTCAATATCTGGGGACACTGAACCCTACTTCATACTTGGTTTGGGAGAGAAAAACCATTCTCTTATTCCAATGCGGATAGTTCAATGAGCAGCAAAAGGTAGCAATGGCTACCTACGAGTTCTCAGATTACACTGCCCAATGGTGGGAGCAATTGCAGTTACGTCGTCGGTGAAACTTGCAAACTCTGGTGGACACATGGGATCAACTGCAAGGACTAACGAGGGAACAATTTGTCCTAGGGTATTACCAACAAGAGTTCTACGAGTTGTTGCAAGGAATTCAACAAGGATCACGGAGCGTATAAGAGTATTTTCTAGAATTTGAGTTGTGGATGACGAGGGCTGACGTCAGGGAGGCAAAGGAGGCCACCTTTGCGCGACTTCTCCATGGGTTAAATCAAAAAATTCGACACGAAATTGAGCCTAGATCATTCATTGAATTAGAAGAAGGAGTTCACCTGAAGATCAAGATTGAAAAGTAGCAAAAGATGTTTGTGGGGAGGAGATTTTCA